AAGGTCTTTCAGTCGAATAGTATGTTTTTTTAAGATGATGTCTGTGTGTGCACATGTACGTATGTATTCATGTATATATGTATGTTCGGATTCAATTTTGGCCTCGTGTATCTCGAGAACACAGAGTGATATTGACATTGAACCAGTTTCATTTAACGCATCATAATTATGTAACTTAGACCTCATTAAATTTTGAGAAAAATCGGTCAAGTAGTTTTTTGTGCCGAATGAAAAATTGTATAAAATATTAGAACATATGATATTTTTTATTCTTTCCACTGGGAAGTTAGTCGTGTGGACCTTTCGGGTCGCACCTAGACCGATTTTTTATACATATAAGAGAGGGCAAACGATCATATGGCTCACCTGATGAATAAAAAAAAAAATAAAAAAATTAAAATTTCCTTTATTTCCAAAAACCCTATTACAAAGATTTATCGAGTCTTCCCTTTAAGTAGTCAGAGACACTTGTGTTGGGAATAACTCGCTACTTCCCTTACGGTTGGCTAAATAAGATAAACTAGGTATGTATATTATATCTAAAAGGTTAGGATGGTTAACATTTTTTTTTTACATTAAAATTTAACTTTTTTTTACAATAAAATTTAACATTTTTGAATTAATTTAAATTTAAATTGCAGCTCTAGTGGCGATGAACTATTTTCATATAAGCATGTATGGTAGTATATAAATGTGCGTGAGTGTGTATACATGTTTGTGTGTGTCTGTAGATGTGTGTGTGTGTGTGTGTACATGTATATGTGCACATGGTGTGTGAATGAGTGTATGTATGTGTGTATACGAGCTCTTGTCTGTGTGTGAGTGTACGTGTGTGCATGTGTTGGTTACCTGTATGCCCTACGGATGAGGTTCCTTGGGATCGGTATGAATATTCCGCATACAGGAACCAGCATTAATTGAACCAAAATTTTAACAAATTCTTATGAAAAGGTTTTCAATATCTTCATAGCTAAGTAAATCCAACCATTCTATTACAGTTTTCCTGCAAGTGTAGGATAACATGGGGTATATTTTAAGTATATTGTTTACTTTGTTGTATATATAAGCAGACTTCTAGCGAACGCAGTACGTGCGGCAGTGACGGGTGCAACGAAGTCCTTCTTTTTTTTAAGACTCAGGTCGACATAAGGCAGAGATTTGTGGCACGTTAAAATGAGATTCAGAATATAGAGTTTTCGGACTGTGAGTAGGCCACATATTCTATATAGTGTATCAGTGGGAAAACGATAAGGTTTGGAGTAGATGACTTTGATAAGTGATCTCTGAGCTCTTTCAAAGTGAGTTTTGTCTGCTCCTCCCCAAATCGAGATACAGTAGGTGAGCACCGATTGGGCCAGGGCCTCATAGATTCGGTTTTTAAGTTTGTTACACATGACCTGCCGTAGTGATTTGAATACCCATATGAGTTTCCTAGTGCGGTTTGTTAAAAGCTCCAAATGTGAGTGCCAGCTAAGTCGTTGGTCCAGCATTATACCTAGGTATTTAGTTTGGCTAACTTTTTCAATAATAGGACAGTCGCAAATAAGGTTACCATGGTTTGAGCAAGTGTGAATTTTAATGGCAAAGTTATGGTTAGGTTGGGATTTATTAGGAGTGAAGCAGATGTAGTTTGTTTTCTGAGTGTTCAAGGTAAGAAGATTGTCTCTAAGCCAGTTATATACGTTAATTAATCCCCTCTCAGTACTTTCTTGGACAGTATCCCAGGTGCTACCAGTTAAAACAAGCGCAGTGTCATCCGCGTAGGAGTATATCCTGCACCCGACATCCTTTAGATTACATATATCATTTATGTGTATTAAAAAGAGAGTCGCGCCCAGGACACTACCCTGTGGGACTTCAAAACTAGTAGTGACTTTATCACTGTGTAAATTATTTATTTTTACTTCTGAGTTCTTTCCTGTAGGTAACTTTTAAAAATCATGAGTGGAGTATCCCTAATACCTAAGCATTCTAGCCTGTATATAAGAATAGGCACAGAGATGGTGTCGAAAGCCTTTTTCAAGTCCAAAAAGACTGTAAGACATTTGCTGCCATTGTCCACTTCACCAACTATAGTAGAAGTGAGATCAAGAATAGCATCTTGAGTTGAAAGACCCTTTCTGAAACCATATTGAGAATTGGATAGTAGTCTAAATTTATTTAGGAAATCAACCAATCTATTGTTGAGTAACTTTTCAATTATTTTGGAGATGGAGGTGAGGACAAAGATAGGTCTATAATTGCTTACATCCTCTCTGTGCCCGCTCTTATGCACAGGGGTTACTATAGACCTCTTTAAGGCTTTGTGGATGATTCCACAAAGAAGTTGTAGCAAGGAAGAAAACTTCTAGTTAATCGCACAGTGGTAGACCACCAAGCATGCATATGGTGCAGATGGTATCGTGAGTTTTGTCACGATGTGCGTTGGTGGAATTTGGCGGCTGGAATTAATCAAAAGAATTCCTCAAGTTCTCTTTGCAGCGCCAGTGAATCGAGCCGATCATAAAGAACTCGATCATCAACTATTCGAGCCGCTCTTTACTGGATGCGGTCAAGTAGAAGGAGCTGGCAATGAGGTGTAACAGCCCAGAGATGAGAACAATATTCCATGTAAGGTTGAACTTGTGTCTTGTAAATTTACAAGCTGTGTGCTGGAATGAAATACTGTTCTGCTCTGCTGAGCACGCCAAGCTTTATAGAAGCCAATTTAGCCGTCCCTTCCAATTGACCGCGGAAATGTACGTCATTCTATAAGTCGACGCCGAGAATGAAGAAGTCCTAAAATTGAAGAGATACAACAAAAAAGTTCTTTTCAGCGGTGAACACGCAAACCTGTCTTCAGAGACCAATCCGAGACTTTATTTAACAATGACTCGACTTCAGACACAAGTTTGCTCTGGTACTCGGCAACGTGTTCCCGAGAAATATTGCTTTGTTGAAATATTGCGTTGAGAAATAGTGCTTTCATCCGTATATTAATCAATGTTACTGGTTTGAATTATATAATTGATTGGCAAAATAAACAGCGGAGGTGTTAACACGCAGCCTTGTGGACCCCTATGCTCCGATCTTTAAGAGAACTGGTGGTCCAGCCCTTTGTGCAAAACACGATTGAAGGCCTTTGATAAGTCCAAACTAACAGCCAAGGTCTTGCACTAGGACTCTAATGCATCCATCATCTTGGAGTCAGGTACTATAGACGATCACCAGCTGAATGATTTCAGCGAAAACAGTATTGACGGTTATAATGGTTTCCATGGTTTTGGAGTACAAGGAACTATAAATCAACTAATAGGCTTGTAGTTGAACGGGTCTGAACTGTCGCCATTTTTAGGTATCGGGTACAGCAAAGCTGTCGCTCATGAATTCGGGACTACGCTTACGCCTAGTAGGAGTACCGGAGAAGACGCTTTAGAACCGGTGTCCACTCCAGAGCACATGTCTTCAACACAATATGAGGAACTCCATCGCTCGACTTGTTGAAGTACGGGGAAGTGCTTTGCGAACCGAGCACTGATTGTGGTATGAATTTTCAAGGTTCTGCCAATTGGCAGAACCCTGAAAATTCATACCACAATCAGTATACACAGTATGTTAAGGATCAGACTTCCGATACTTTACCCATATGTTGTTCAATAAATTATATCGACAAAATACCATACAAGGGGGGTCGCGCCCCTCACCCCTCTTAATGAAAGCCATTTTTAATTGCTATATCTCGTATTCTTTCGAGTTTATTGAAAGTCGTTTAATTTATCATTTAATGATGTCCACATACATGAATGTGACCTTATTTTAAAGGTGATGAAATTAACTAGCATGTGAAACAAAACTTGTTAAAAAGACGACAAAAAATTTGAACAAAAGCCTTATTAAAGATAATAATATAATGAACTTTTATTTTGATGATTACATAATTTTATTTTTCTTTGTAGGTCACCTAACTCATACAAAATGTTTCTGAACATTATAGAGTCGTGAATTTTAAAGGAAAAATATTTGATTATTTTGAAGCAATTCAAAGTTGCTTCTGGCCGGATTATTCCTTGTTGTTGCTGATTTTGTCATGGATGTGGAACTTCAAGGAATCATCTGTAGTGCCCATCGGAGGTGGATCCCAGCTATGGTTTGATCGCTCTTATAAAATTGTAAAATTGCATCGTTATACAGCGCTTCTAATATATTAAAGCCCATAAAAAAATTATCAAACGCTAGAAGCGTATTTTCAGGCAAGTCAAGCGAGAGTTTATTCACGACATATAGCCCAGACCTTCTTCTTCTATACTGTCACCTTTACCGGTGTACACTTTAAATTTATAAAGGTTGCGTTACAACGTGCCCAAAACTTAAACCCACGTTTAATTGGTTTCTTTGGCATATACTGCTTAAGGCTTGATCGGCCTTTAAATTTGACAATGCATTCATCAATTGATTGCTGGCTCGAATTATACATCTCTTCTGAAAAAAATTTATTAAGTTCAGTTATCATCGGCCTCAACTTGAAAAGTTTATCGTAATTAGGCGAGTCTCTTCTTGGCTCCTCTTCGTTATTATTTATATGGAGATTTTCAGTGGTTTTCTTAAATCTTTTAATGGTCATGACTTGCGAAATCTCTTTATTGTTGTAGAATGGGTCATTAGACCTATATAATTCCATATCAGGCAACGGGTTTAGGCCCATCATAATTAATATACCAAGATAAGCCTTAATTACTTCTCCGGAAACTGGTGTATACTGATGGTTGTTTTTCTGTCTTGCATATGTATTGGTCTGATGTACTAGAATTTGTACTAAGTAGTCCAGAAAAAAAAATTCAAAAGCATCGATAGGGCGTGTTTTATGATTAAAAAATGATGCTGGTGTGATTAGATTTGCGAATTCTGGTACATTATGTATTTCTTCATCTATTTCCCACTTTCGTGGGGGTCTTGATATAGCTGCATTAATAGTTCTGCTTCTGTTTGGTCCTAAGTGGCCCTGATTATGAGTCACAGTATCATTACCTATTGATGGATTCTCCACAAATCTCATCTAAACATTCTTGAATTTCAATGTCTCTTTCGCTGACATATGCTTCTTGTCTCCATTCTTCCTGTGTTCCAGATTTTTTCTGTGTCTCCATATATTCATTTGTAATCTGTATTGGTGGTTCGCCAGATTTTTCCTGTGACATATATTCATTTGTAACCTGTATTGGTGGATCATCAGATAATTGTTCTGTATCTAAAATATTAATCAAGGAACTCACTGAATAACTTTCTTGATCATCAATTGTTTCGTTTACGATTGCAGAATCACCAAACACTTTTTCAAGTTGACTTTCAATAATGGCATCTTCAGGAAGATTTAGATCATCTACTGGACTGCTTACAGGTGCCGTCTGATAATAGGTTAGGTTTAAGATGTGGGTAAAACGTAAACAATTAAAAGAACAGTAAACATTTAGACGGAACAATTAATGCAACCGAAACAGAAATAAGGGTGCGTAGAAACTAAGTTAGATTTAATTTTAGCTTGTTTTTTTTTTTGGTTAATTTTCCAAAATATGGCATTTCAATAAGTTTTTAAATAAAGATAACGTTTTTGATTCTTTTATATTTCTAGGTAAAGCGTTATACAGTTTTGCACCGTCAAACATTATATTTTTCTTACCATACTCTGTTCTAACTTTTTGTATGTATATATCATGGGCACGTCTAAGGTTACGATTGTGAAAATCTATATTTTTTTTCAAACAATATTTGCGAATGAATGTCGTTTTAAATATTTTACGTATTAATATGCAAGTGTTATATTGATATATTTGTGATATATTTAATAATTTGCTTTCTTTATATATAATATTAGACGGTGTCAAATATTTATAATGAAAAAGTACCTTGATTAATTTGTTTTGGGTAGTTTGCAGTCCACGTAAATTTGTTTTGTATGCTGTTCCCCATACCTCGATTAAATAGTCAATATGTGGTTTGACAAGTGTAGTGTATAAAATATATCGAACATTCAGTGGGAGACATCCTACCATATTTCGCACACTTCCTAAAAAAGAAGACAATTTAGAATATTTTCTGAATGTGTGGCTTCCGCGTCAACCTGTTGTCTAATATAAGTCCTAGGTATTTTTCCTTACTTGCTTTATTTATATGTGCACCATTTATGGTGAGAGGCGAAAAGTCTGGTATGTTTTTGTTTTTAGCAGAAAAGATGACATAGTTAGTTTTTGATACATTAATAGTTAACAAATTGCATGAGAACCATTCCTGCAAGAGGTTAAGGTCTTTCTGGGCCTCCTCTACGATTAAATTGATGCTGTGTCCGAAATAAAATAGGCAAGTATCATCCGCATACAAGGTGATATTTCCCTTTAAACCTATGATGTTTATATCGTTTATATATATTAGAAACAACAATGGTCCCAAAATTGACCCTTGAGGAACACCGTATTGAACAGGTTTAGGGCTGCTAACATGTTTATCTATTTTAACTACTTGAAAATGGTTTGTGAGATATGACTTTATCATTTCTAGGGCCAATCCAGTTATACCGAGTGCAAAAAGCTTACATAATAAACTTTCATTACTTACGGTACCAAAGGCCTTCTTTAGATCAATAAAAATTCCAAGGGCTATATTTTTTTGATCTATACTGGTTTTGAGTTTTGTAATAAGATCGATTGATGCAGAAAGGGTATTTGATTTAGATCTAAAGCCATACTGATGGTCAGAGAGGTGTTTGTTTAAGGTTAAGTAGTCACTAAGGTGTTTATGTAAAATTTTCTCAAAAACTTTTGATATAGTAGGAAGTATATTGGCCTGTAGTTGCCTGGCTCATTCTTAGGTCCTGTTTTATAGATTGGAGTGACTTTAGCAAACTTCTATGTGTCAGGGAAATGGCCTTCCTGGATACATCTATTAATGCATTTTGTTAAGCTAACAGATATAGGGTGAATTAAATAATTAATAAATATTTAATTAATATGCGTTATCATCTGAATCAAGATCAGATAAATCTGACATATTGTCTACTATGGCCTCCAATTGCCGGGTGCTTATAATTTTCTTAGTTTTCTTACTCATTGTTTACAGATTATACCTATAAATAAATGATATGATACAGAAAAATCACATAAAATGCCTTACAGAATGAAAATTTTATTTTTGATACATACATGCCTTAGATAAATTATTGGTCTTCACTTCATAGCAAGGTGAAGACTAATCATATATCTAAGATACATACATACATTCTCAAAGTTGAGTAACAATAAGTAATTCAACATCGATTTCAAAAGAATAGGTAGTAGTTAATAAAAAAAATTACACACTTTTATGAAATTTTGACAAACATCATACCTTAATTGAAAGAATAAAATTACATACATATATACGAATCAAACTCATAATCTCCTTTTTTTGAAGTCAGAAATTATGTTACGATTATAGGGCAAGGGGAATTATTTTCCCACTTTGTTTTTCAAACAATTTTACGTTGATATTACTAGATTTAAATAGAAAACTATATAAAATAGCACCAGGATAGTCTCTTTACGTAAAACAAAAACCATAATCTATTACTGGATTTTTTGTAAAGAATTTTTGTTTTTTCTCTTGAATGATCAAGAACAACCGTTTTTTGCTCACTACAACATCACGACTTTGACTTTGAGATTGAAATTTAGGTGCGATTTGACATTACTACCGTGAGTGTTGCCAGTAAAAAAAATTAAAAACATCCATATAACAGCAAAGTATTGGTTGCATTCACTATATTGTTTATCTTATATGAAAAAAAAAATAATTTAAAAGAGATCCATGTGGGAAATAATATCCGTTTGCCTTATTAAGGGTTAAATAAGACATGAAGAAGAATATAGATTAGTATTCAGTAATTGTTTTCCTTCCAACATGTAATTGTCCTGAATATTGATAAAAATAATGAACAAGAAAAAAGCTTTTAATTGCAACAACCACAACATAGGAAAAAAATGATGTCATGTAATGCACAATGAACATTGTACACAGTAAATGATGAATGCCCACTAGGCCACTAACATAGTCATATTTAAACTGAGACAATGCATGTCAAGATATATTTATGGTGGCGAGAACTAATTGCAACTTGTTTGTCCACATATTCACAAGGGACATCTCCCCTATTGGGGGATTTATTACATGACTCAATTGAACCTATTTGTTAGACATGTCAGATTACAAGGGAGGGAAGATTAGCCAGGGGCTGGATTACCAGGGGTCCATTGTATAATTTAAAAAACTAGAGATTGCTGCACTATGATATTTTATTATTTGACACATTTTTATTAGTTTATGAAAAAAATTGATCCCAATATTCGGGGTTACCATTTCTAGAGTTGAGAGTATTAAAATTACATATATACTAATCCCATTTAGATTTTTTCTTTTCAAAAATTTCTTTTCCATCTTTATCTACAGCAGCATAGTACCCCATAGACTCATATTTTTGCCTCATATATGCAATGTAACCTAGTGCTAGGCCAAAACATGTGATGCCTATACTCATTATTACAATATTCTGAAAAGAGTAGAAAATATTAATTAAAAAAAAACTATAATACTATATTGGACAGACATAAACTGGTTAATATTTACAATAGGCATATTACGTAATGATAAATACTTACAGGTTTTGCATATAATTCAAAATTAATAACTCGAAAAGCAGTTGTAGATCTTAAAGATCTTAAGCCTTCACCAGGTTTCTCCTTATTTTCGTCACTCATATTAACTTTTCTCTCGAAATGAATTTACGGATTTTGCTTACTCGGAGTTGTCTTATTCAATTCTTACTCATACAATTTACGCTTACCCATGTTAACGTTCACCTAAAGTAGAATAAAATACTTCTAAAATAATATTATTTTAGCCTTAAATAAATAGGTACAGTTAGCATTATTATAATTATAATTTCTAACCTAGCTTGCTACAATTTATTTATCTATGTTCTAACCTAACTTTAACTCTCTTTATTAAAATTTTTGCCTTGGATGCTTGTTCTTTAAGCCAAATCTTCATTTCATTCGAGATCTTCCTTTTTATTGATTTTTTCTTTATAATATGATGATGTGTGACATTGTGAAGTTTTTAAGAGATTTTAACGACAGCTCAATCGTCACCGTCAGGGTAAATGTATTCTGTGGCTCAATCCCGCGGACAGCGGATGGTGAATGATTTCAGATATATATAACGTACTCTGTGGTCAATGACGACGGTCACTCAAGTTCATACTTCATAAGCCGTCTAAGCCAGCCTAAGCTATCTATATAACTTGAGGTAGGAGTGCTCGATGTGAATCGATATTTCATAAAATATCGCTATATTGGAGTAACTCTTTGAGTTTAGAAAAGAGAATATATTCTATGCTCAAAGGAGTAACTCTATAAGGAGTACTCGATATATCGAATCAAACCGATATTATCAAATCATCCAATATCGATAATATCGTACAAAATTTAAAGTACACCCCATGAAGGTTAGAGAACAGGAGAACGATCACTATAATTAATTTATACGTACTAAAGCATAGCCCGTCCTTAAAAATTGTTGAATATATAGCGGCGCTGACGTTAGTTAGTAGTGACTGTGAAGTTAGCTGTTTATGAGTGCAAGTAGATGAATTTAGTTGAATAATGTTCAAATTTTCATTTCATTTTTAATGAGAAAATTTTACGTGCTCCGTAATTTTGTAATTTTTGAAAAAAGGAACATAAAAAAATGGAGAAATATTTTATTGTGCGTAGATGTGCAAGTGGTTTAGCATCTGATCGGAAAAATAGACTGAAAATGACTTTTATTAACCGAACTTTGTGATCGCAGCGCCTCACTTATGGGATCCATATTTCTAGGACACTATTTTCTACGGTGATCTTTCTCCGGTTCTCTTACCTTCATGGTACACCCTTTCTGCATTTAATCTGAACATAATTTCTTTATACCTAGATGAATTTATAAAAAAATTAATTCAGAGTTGTCTTAAGAAAATAAAAAGTCCATTGCATGTGGTACTTTTTAAAGGTTGAGAAAACTACGCCGAACCATGAGCTGCCCACTGGACGGTCTCCGAAACCACACAATATTAAATAAAACAAATTTCCATTCGATCATGACATTATCTTATGCATTGATTTATACATATACTTATAGATTAGTAATTGCCGCGCCAAAGTGTTGCCACTGCACATATGGCCACAGCCATATGCCTAGCTAACGTCAGTTCAGTGTTCAATGTGAAGCCAAAAGAGTTAAGCCGAACGATCCGCGACAAAAAATGGGTAAATACGTAGTGAAAGAATGCGATTCAAGGTCACAAAACTATAATAAATCAAGTGGAATCACTTTCCACACATAAGCTTTAGTTCATGTTTTCATATAAACGCAAAAACCTCAAATTTTATTTTTAATTAAATAAAACTATCGAATATCGTGATTTAGATTAAATGTTGCTACTTTTCCGCCTTTATGATTATCCCACATTAACGGGAGACTATATAATTAATGGAGTAAACTAATTTGTTACCTCTGATTTTAAATAATTTGGAAATTAAAATAAAACCTACGTAATGTAAATAATTTAATCATAAAATCTACGTTTTGACTTTCATACAAAACAATTGATTATTCTTATTTTAGTTTATTCATGAATGATCTATTAAAATATTATATTACCTATTTTATATTAATAATTTTATATTGATTATAATTTTATTTTTATATAAATTTTATATTTTATATTAATTCTTTACGTGGTAGAGCCACGCTGCAGCTATATTATGGTTGTAGCATGAATGGGTCGGCTCGACCGGGGAATGACCACGCTCTCACAGAAAACCCGAGTAAAATAGCAGCTTAATGCTGCTGTGTTTCGTATGGTGGGTGAGAGAGAACCGTAGACCCGTTTTACTGGGATCGAGGCATTCCATCTTAGTCTTCAGGGGTGACAACGTATCTGCATTTTGATTCTAAATAGAATGTAGATGTCTATGGGCCACAGCAACCACTTACCATCAGGTGGACTGTGTGCTTGTTTGTCATCCTTATCCTATACAAAAGTATATTTAATTTATTGGTACAAGAAAAAAGTATATATATGTTTGATTTATTAGTATAATAAAAATACTTATAAAAATATGTTTTATTTTATCAGCTATGCTAATTTCTATTCACCTGATAAGAAAATATGCTTCTTTTTAAATAAAAACATATAACTGCAGCTTAAAAAACTCCTTTTTTGCGTATTTTGTGTTATCTCGAAGTACTTAGTTGTGGCTCCATCATTAACCACTCTTAATAAAAAAATACGCACCCGGGGATGGCTGCGGTATAGCGATTGCATAGCATTTTTTTATCAACTTATAGAATTATAATTATTTATTTATTTTATTTATGCAGTTTTTTTGTATAAAATGATTATTTAATTTATAAGTGTTTTATGTATTGTACACAAAAATTTATAAACTGCAAGTACGGTTTTTGTTTTTCAAATGTATGTAAATTTGGCAAAGGTGTCTATAGCTTGACGTCGCAAATAAAAATATCACTAAATTCCATATCTTTATATTTATCTTTACAATCTTTATAATACAAGTACATTTCAATGCAAACAATAAATCAAAAATCAAAATATTTATAACAGAAACAGAAACGGCACACTTAAACGGATTGCTAGGAAAGCTAAACTAAAAAAAAAAAACTAAGTATCTGATGGAATTAGATGAACAGAGACAAAAGTAACAATTACCATTATTTAAAGTTTTGGTAAAAAATTATTAAAAATTATTACAATACAAATCTACTCCTTGCATCTATATTCTGTTTCACAAATGTTTACGCGTCTATTGGCCAACTTTGGTAAAAAATTTGTAGGGGTGGTTTTAATCGATAATTTTGTTTCAAATATGATATTATTTGTTAGTTTAGAGCTTAAAATATAACATATATTATACGTGTAATTACCGAAAGTAAGACACCGGCCATTAAATTGCTTTTTCGGTCATTATTCTTGCAACTTTTAAAGAGACATTCTGGCATTGTGAAACGTGTTTATACTGGCTGTGTTTTAAGTGAACTAAACGAAATAATAGCTCATATCTCATGTGCGCACTTATTTACTGAGACGTATTTTTTGTGCTGGCCTGACATGTTATAGTTAATCGAAGGAAAATAAAGATAGATTTTATACATTATAAAACTGTAGTATATTAGAGATGTTCGACCGAAATGTATAACCTTACTTAATCATCGTAGCATCACGCTATATTCAACAAGGGGTTGAGCGGAGCTTCGGATTATATTTTAAAGTCACAATGATAAAATGTGACTTGAAATGTTAGCGTTAGCTTAGTTAGGTACAGATATTAAGCAAGATTCAGTGTGCCAGGATAGTATAAATTCCATAGTATTGATACTCACAACGCTTGATGCCCTATTCATGCTTAGGGCAGACGACGGTGTGCAGAGAGGTTAATAGAGTGGTTCTTCGCCTAGTCTTAGTCGTAGACAAGAGCTCGTAGTTAAGTAATAGTTGCCCGGATCAATAAGCTGCACTTGCCGTGGTCTGTCCTTGGATGGGTGAACGTTTTCTTAATATACATATAACATAGATTGAGAGAAAAAAAGAGTGCATATGTATCCTCAGACACTTGGTGCACTTTAATATTTCCTGCGTATTTGGCTAGTCTCTGTTAATATCATTATGTTTTTACATTCATGCAGCTAAAGTGATGATAATTTTATTAACACTTTATATTTTTCTGCGACAGATGATAGTCTTTAAAAATAAAAATCTTATTTAACTGATTCCTACTAGTTTCCTTATTTAAATTATTAATTTTACATTTATATTTAAGTTTTATGTTAAAATAAGCTCCTATAATGTATTTAGTTATTAAATGTTTGTAATTATTAAAAGTAATTCTTAAAACATGAAAAATAAAGCAGCCATTATGTACTCTGTGTCCCCGTTTTTTACGAGGGTGGATTGAAAAGTACTCGGCCTAACACAGATCCATTCAATTCTAAAAATCAAATCTACCCACATTATTTAGTTCCGTTCAGACTAGTTCATTGTGTGAAGTTCGAAACGTGTGCGATAATTAGTTGTGATTTTATAAATTTATTAACAAAGTAATCGGACATAATTTCCGCGAATGGAGCAAATCGGGCAGCGTGCCGTCATTAAGTACCTCCATAAGAATGGGCTATCATCAAAAGCCATCCATGATGACATGGTCAGTACATTAGGCGATTGTGCTCTGTCATATTCATCCGTCAAAAAATGGATAGCAGAATTTAAGCGTGGTAGAGAGAGTGTGAAAGATGAACCCCGCTCTGGAAGGCCTTCGACGTCAACTACTGACGAAAATATTAAAAAAAGTACTTGATTTAATAATGGGAGACCGCAGATTAAAAATTAGAGAGATAGCCGAGATTATAGGGATCTCTTATGAACGAACTCAAAACATCATTGTCAACGAGTTGGGTTTCCACAAGGTGTCTGCGAGGTGGGTTCCGCGACTGCTTTCAGTTGAACAAAAAAGGACGCTGAAATAATACTAATTTTTACGCGAATGTTTGGAGTATATTTGAAGCCGATGCAGATGATTTTTTGAATCGTTTTGTTACTATGACGAAACATGGGTTCATTACTGTACACCGGAAACAAAACAACAATCAAAACAGTGGAGAAGACCTGGTTCACCACCCCCTAAAAAGGCTAAGTCGATTTTGTCGGCAAATAAGGTGATGGCTTCAGTATTCTGGGACTCGAAAGGTGTGATTATGATTGATTATCTTGAAAGGGGTCAGACTATAAACTCTGATTACTACTGCACCTTACTACATCGTTTACGAGGGGAAATAAAAGAAAAACGTCGAGGAATGCTCAGAAGAAAAGTCCTGTTTCATCAAGATAACGCCCGTGTTCACACGTCAGTACAGTCAATGGCTGAAATTCACAACTGTGGCTTTGAACTGTTACCGCATCCGCCGTATTCACCTGATCTGGCACCATCAGACTTCTTTCTGTTCCCTAACCTAAAAAAGCACTTGGGAGGTCAAAGATTTTCGACAAACGACGAGGTCAAAGCAGCTGTAGACGCATATTTTCACTCTAAGGAAGAATCATTTTTTTTCAACGGTCTAAATGCTTGGAAGGGGAGGTGGCAAAAGTGTATTGAACTTGATGGTGTTTATGTAGAAAAATAAAAATATAACTGATTTAGTATGTGTTTATTTTCTTGGTTAGGCCGAGTACTTTCCAATCTACTTCGTATTTCGTTAGCAAATCATTTTATAAATTATAAATAGGCATTTACTTAATTATCTACCTAGTTACATTTGATTAAAATTATGTTGATAAAGAAATCCCGAGGAAACAGTATATGGCAGTAAATATTTTTTTCTAAAGGTCATAGCCCCAAAATACAATTTTCCGAACTGATTTTTGGGAAAAATTGCTTAAGTATATTCGGGAGATATTATTAAATATTGAATTAAAACATTTTTACGTGGTAGAGCCATGCTGCCGCTATATAATGGTTGCAGCACGAATGGGTCGGCTCGACGGGGAATGACCACGATTCCACAGAATACCAGCGTCAAATAGCACTGTTGTGTTTCGTATCGTTAGTGAAGAGAATCGGAGACCCTTTTTACTGGAAACGGGGCATTTCATCTTAGTCCTCAGAAGTAGCAACGCATTTGCATTTTGATCCTTAATTGAGATTTTATCGTTGTAGATGTTTATGGCCACAGCACCCACTTATTATCAGGGTAGACTGTGTGCTCGTTTACCACCCTTTTTCTATAAAAAAATCTAACAATAGGCAGATAGGTGCTCGCTTATTCTCGGGAACGTATTATTTATATGAATAATTTTTAATTATTTTAGAATTACGTGTTAAAAATTCAGTAAATTTTTGAAATTATTTAGTTTCGTGTACTAAATTAGTTTTTTAATCTTTTTACCGCTTTCTTAACAATCATTTTTTAATAGTCCTTGTAAGTAAAGTGTACATTACTAGCTAACGCCACAATGACAAATCGAAATTTGTCATGCGTTTTCGTGCTGTCAGATCTTCTATATGCCAGTACCCAGTATATTCTAATGCTATAAGTCTATGAGTAGAAACATTAGGGTTATTCCGTTTATCCAACTTAAGTGATAAACCCTAGGGTGGATACTCGCATACGCTGTGTTCATTAATCAACCCTGGATGGTGTTGATAATCGGAATTCACTTTTTGATTGTTGTCCCGCCTTTCCACCTCAAGTAGAGTTCAATAGAAAATATATTCGTACTTTAACATATTATTGATTAATTTTTAATAACCACAAACATTAACAAAATTCATATTACGTATTAAATTTAAACCAAGTTAAACTTCTTTATCTAAAATAATAATAAGTACCTTATAAATTCTGCAATATGTTCAAGAAATGACCAACACTAATTTCATTATTGATTTGACGTAATTTTATATCCTGTATAAATTCGTCTCTATAAAAAGACATTTTACAGTAAAGCATTTATTTCCTCTACGATGACGTAAATTATGTCACATCAAATTATATGTAATTGAACAATTAAAATTCAGTTTTGACGTTTAAATAAGAACATACAACAAACATACATACGTATTTCTATAAGTATACTAAATAATCTTGGATCAGTTTCTATCATGTTTTTATAAGCGGCTGTACACAGCCGAGGGGAAAATAGGAAGAAAAATAATATAAGAATTCCGATTATTCACCCTGTCTGGGGTTGATAAAAGAATATACGATTCCGAGTATCCTTCCTAGGGTATCCACCTTAGGAAGGATGGATAAACGGAATAACCAAAACATAATATTGTTCCTTGTTCTTGGCAAAAGTACTATGTATGCGAATTATCAAAAAAAGTTGAAATGACGCCAAGTCGCCGTACGCTTGACATATTTGTTTTTGGTTTTTGTTTGTCACAGATTTATTTATCTATGGTCACAGACTTAGAACAAGTTTGACAAAAGAGGTTGAAAATTGAAATATTGTTATTTTAAACATGAAGTTGCATTACATTGTACGCTTAGCATAACAATTTACTTTCAATGTTTATTTCTCCTTTTTTTAATAAGTCAAGGTTTCTAATTAATTGTGAAAATGGAGTCTGATTCTGCTCTACAAGGCGATTTGCCAGATGGCGCGGAAATGTCTCCCCTAGCAGAAAATCCACCTGAAAATGCAGAAACTTCTGAAAGTAACCTACCGGTTCACGATTCTCAAGAGAATCCAACCGAAGAAACAGGTGAGAAGTGATATTTTGTACTGCAAATTATGTGGTGATAGGATTAGTAAACATAACATAAACTCTCACGCCTGTCGTCAACCAGAGCGGTAGGCAGAGACTATGGTTTGGACTTCCATTTAGCACGATCCCGAAACTTCTCGCTTCTTTCTTGATTATAGATACTGTTTAGAAAATTATACAGTATAGTATAATTTTTGCTCTTTCTCATTTTCTTTCTAAATATTATGTACCTAAATCTCATAATATATTTACATATATTTAAAATTCTTCTGCTTAACACTAACGTTTAAAATTATTTAGGGCAAATATTGTTACATCTAGCTACAAACGGAGCACCAACAAGCAGCAGCGATGTTATGGATGAGAATTCTGAAATTCAAACAGCTGATAGTGAAGAACATCCCCCTCATGTGCAAGGTAAAAATATCTTATATCTCTTCATAGTATAAAACAAAGTTGCTTCCTGCCATTTGTATGCTTAGATCTTTTAAACAATGCAACAGATTTTGATGTGGTTTTCATTAATAGATAGAATGGTGTAAGAGGAAAGTTTATATGTGTAGTATATACATATTATAGTAGAGAAATAAAGTTGATTACTCTGGGATCGGTTGACACTTAATGTTTTAACTGTTGTGACAACAACAGTCTAAAGTATTTTATTTAAAGAAGTTTAATCAGATCTAGTTTTGGCTGAAAAAGACTCCTAATGGTAGTAGAAAAAATTACTTTTCATTGGGAGTATTTTTCTTGTACTTTTTTCTTGGCCAAATATATATCTATATCACAAGTCAAAATCTACATGATCGCTCTGGAATGGCGTAATATTGACGCACACTTCAATGTTCTCTGTGTGACTGTGGGGGTGGAGCAAGCGCAAGGTAACTTGTGGCAACTCATCGAATCGAACAAATCATCTTGATACTAATGGAACTAAAAGAATAAAATAATTTCCACAAAATCACAGAATAAATAATAGTACAATGGACATAATGGCTTATGAGGTTGGTGCTAAAACGTAGAAAAAATATGGGATCCAGCCCTGATATTGGAAGCTAATATGTGGATATTATTTTATTCTTTTAGTAAATTGAAGTCGGCTTTAATTATTTCATATTGACTAGACTAAAGAATGTCACAACATCAAGGTAACAACTAGAAAGGGGTAAGTAATATATGTCTGAATTGAAAATAGATAATGTGTGATATACTTTTATTCTGTTTTATAATGTAAGAATAATTCATTAAACTAACCATTTCATTGGTGTCAAACTAGTGTTGCTCGCATTTGCGGCAAGCACTTCGCCCTTGCGCTACGGCTTATACCTGTTTTTATTTTTGTTTTATAATAATGTTACACCACACTAAGAAAGATTTCTAAGTATATTGTGGTGGCAGTTAACATAAGAATATAAATTCACAAGGACAAACATTCAGACCTGGAACAATTATTTGTAGGATATGCAAATTTTGTCCCGTGCGTAAATCTCATTGCTAAGCCACTGTGCCACAGAGAATATCTTTTATAATGATTTCTTATATTTATGCGAACACTACACATTGATTAAAACTACTTTTACAGATTTTTTGTTTACGAACAGGATTTTGTTGGATTCACACCTTCACTGCTTTGATGATTGTGGGTGTCCTAAATGTACGAGGTCGGCCGGTCCTCTTACAATCTTCGAAGCTTGAATCTTCAGTGCATCGTTTCATTGTGCAATAAACAAATTGTAGTCATTTTCAATTCTTTTAGAATATTGAAAATCTCTTGACGCGTAACCACAGTGGTGCTATGCGATAGCCGCTACTCTATCTTCTTTACAATCGTCGAAGCTTGAATCTTCAGTGAATCGTTTCATATTACAATAAACAAATTGTAGAGTCATTTTCAATTTTTTTAGAATATTGAAAATCTCTTTTGACGCGTAACCACAGCGGTGCTACGTGATAGCCGCTACTCTATCTTCTTTCTTCGACTACTCCATATTTAAAATTGATTGAAAATGTTTTTTATTTTCGGCAAGCGCAAATGCTATACTTTTTAAATTGGTGAAGTTCATCTAGCCAGTGTTCAAAAATTTTAAATAATAAGAGCTTATGACCTGACTAAGTATATAAAATTTTCAAAAATCTTTAAAAAATATGTAGTTTTGAAATGGTAATGAAAATGGAAATGCGGCAAGGGGATTATTTATTTTTTCCGAGTGGTGGGACTCCATTTCTAACCCTCTGGGTGGGCACTACCCTTCTATGTATATCTGCTGCCAAACAGCAGTATTTGCACTGCTGCATTTCAGTGTGGAGGGTGTAGAGAGCAAATATAAATTCAGGCTATAAGGTGTTCTTGTAACTTAGTCCTTAAAGAGATGAGATTGCATCTGTAGCCCTTTTTGTTTGAACTTGGCTGCAGGTGCCCATGGATAGCGGTGGCCACTTATCGGGCGGACTGTAAGTTTGTTTGTCACTTCAGTTTGATAAAAAGAAATTGGTTGACCCTGCGGGCCATCCCTGGAACTTCCCGCTAATTCCAAATGCAAAGCGTTCCAAATTTCACCAAATTATGTTGCGAAATCTCGAAGTTATGTTAAAAAAAGTTTTATTTCAAATTCTTTCTCCTTCGATATCAATCAATCAATCAAATCAAATCAATCAAATCATTTATTTCGCTAAAACATGGGTACAGACAGAGGGTATCTCACGAACGAATGAACCGATTTTTATTTTCCAAATGGCATTAGACATTTTTGATTAGTTTTTGAAATCGATTGGTGAAGCCGTTTAAAAGTTATTCCAAAAAAACAGTTTTTCAATTCCGAATCAGTTTATATTATCACCAAATCTATTCCACATTGAGATCTTTAGAACTTCGTAATGCGCATCTCAATCGATCAAGACATTCAAAAGTTATGAAAGGTTTACATAATTGGGCGTCCAAGTGAAATTGGTCAGCATAGCTTCCTGGGATCTCAAAACGTTGAGATCTGATGAAAACTCGATTTTCGAAAATCACGGTGAAACCAATAACTTCCGTATTTTTGAAAATTTTCAATTTTCTTAGCAGGAAGTTAAAAATATTACTCCCTTTAAATCTTAAAACTAAAATAATGTCTGGAAAAGTACTTTTTTCATGTAAAAAGTCACTAGAGCATGCAACAGAGCATTATTGTAAATCGATTAAAACCATAATCACAAACTAAATCATGCCGCAGGTTACTAAAGCCAGCCTGAAGATAACATACTTGATATTTCTATGCCTTTTTTACCACATTTTTATTATTTCGGGTCGAATTTAGTAATTTTTATGATGGTATTTAAAATTTTTCAATACAGAATTTGTTAAAATTTTATTTGTCTTGTACAAACATAATTTCCATATTCTTCCTCATTCCTTTGAGAAAGATTGACTATGAACTTAGTTTTTTTACCGATTTTTTTTACCGAGATCTTTATGAACAAAATGTTTTTCATTATTGAGTTTTATGAAAGAAAGCTTTTCACATAATCATATCTTTGACTGATTATATTATATGATTACCATAGGGAATGCAGAAGCTGAAGATGAAATGGATATTGATGATAGCACACCAGGCAATATTGCTGATGAGTCTACATATATTGGAGACAATTGCTTGTCCACACCAGTAAGTGTTAATAGTGAAGAATCTATTTCATATATTTTACGTCTCCCTCTTAAAATGGATGGTAAAACTGATTAAGCTTTTTTACTGACCATCTTATTGTAAAAATAAAACAAAAATACAATTGGAAGTCATAGGAGCTTGCATACAACTATACAGGGTTATTTTTCTAAGTGCATTCATGTTAAATATATAAGTTCAAATATGTAAATACTAAACGTTAAAAGTTAAAGTTACAGCTTACATACGTCCCACTGGGCTCAGGCCTCCTCACATTTCTGAGAGGGTTTTAGGGCAACGGAGTTTCCGCCGCACTGCCCCACTGCGTGTTGGCGAACGTCACATGTCTTGGTTTTTTTTTATTTCTCAGACATGCAGGTTTCCTCACGATGGAACGTGGTAAATCAGCACTTAAAATTGCAATTAACAATTTCATTGGTGCCGGCGAGAATCGATCACGGGTTGTTCGCGTATTGTGAAATTTTCAGCGAGCGCTAACCATCTGAGCTACCACGGTTGTAAATACAAATATAAAATTTTTGCAGTTTTTGGAAATACGAGTAAGCTTCTACTTTAATTTGAAATTATCCCAAACAGAATGATTTTTTTGGCTACAACTATACATACATATGCTTCCGTGTGTGCGATTCAATTTACAAAGTTTTAGTCAACTATTTACTTTCTTAATGACACGCTCACTACTAATGCTTAAGTTGATAACTATACAACATGAATTGTGATTCCAAATTTCCCGTCATTCTTTTAACGGACTTAGAATGCTCATAATAAATAAAATAAAATATCCAACCTCCTTTCATCGAATAGTATAGGACTGACACCACTAACGACAGTGGAATTTTGATATAGGTAAATTCATGTCTTTATCTTGAATTTGCTTGTTCAAAAACACAATTGTATAATTATTACTCGATCATAATTATTTGCGAAAATACCTCTAAAAATCATTATAGTTGAAATTACTTTATATATATAATTAATCTATATCCTTGGGTATCACTGAAATATATACATAACATCAATATTTATAATTTACTTGCTCATTATTTTGATTACTTAAATCAATAATTTAAAAAAAAATATTTTAAGATTCTGGCAATTTCTAAGCGGTTTTAATTATAGCGGGCGCTATGCAATTTTAGACCTTAAGACGGCGTTTTTTAAGTTTTTATAGAAATTATGTATTCACTCGGATCAGTAGAGTGATAGCCCGGAGCCACTTTTTCAATGTGTCGTCTTAAGGAAAGTTTCGTTACGCATATTGATAACTTGAAAACGTTTGTATGATGTGTTACCTAAAATGGGAATAGAGCTAAAGCTATGTATGCTAAATTTTATATTGTGAATAGTAAATTAGGAGAACACCCTGCAAGGAGCTTTGGACATATTAGAATATCCATTGATTTTTTAGTTTTGATAAAATATGTAACTTGTTTTTATTGTTGTGAAAAACATGAATTAATTACAGGCAGTCACTGAAGATAATTCACCACAAGAAGACAGTCAATCAGATCCAATGCTAAAAGAACCTGTTTTGGATGAAAATGAAGGTGCTGATGCCGCTCAAGAGGAGTCTCCAGACCAATCAATTAGCTCTGCTATGCCTATAGAGGGAGATGGAGCGCCTATCATTCAGGATGGTATGACACTGAAATATATTCTACAATATATTCATAGGTAGAAGCAAAATTATTTAAGCAATATTTTATAAGATAAAAGGGTAATTTTATACTATCGCGATCCCCTCATTTTTTGGCTCTAGAAAATCTAAAAATCATCTGAATTCGATGTTTTTTTTAAATCATCGCTTTACGGCGGATTTATGAAAAAAAATATAGAAAATATTTCACAAGAAGATTTCATATAGTTTTATGACATGCAAATTTTGCAAAAATGAATCTACACAAAAAAGCGAACATTTAAAAAAATATTGAAAATGTTTGTTTATTATTATTTTTTGGTGTTTTATCATTGAGCTAGTATGTACTACGTACTAGAGGCGACACTGCATTCAGCTACTCTGTTCCACTCAACTGAGGTGCATACACCGCACTTTAATCAGTCAATCGCTAGGCGCTTATAGAGTAGACACGTGTTGTGTTGATTTAAAAAAATCTCTTGATAAAAATATGCCGTCGTGTGAACAGATATATAGATATTGCACAAATAATTCAAGAAATGTCAGTAAAAACCAAAGAATTACTTTTCATCGGTTAATAATATACTTAATCATGTGTCACTCAAAAATGTGATCATAAACGCACTTCTTCGAATATAATCGTTCATAACTTTTTTGCAAAGCATAAACGAAATTTATATTTTTTTTTGTTAATCTACACAAAAAAGCGAACATTTAAAATGTTTGTTTATTTTTTTTTTATCTCACTTAAAGTTTTTATATGGTTTTCTGTCTTTAAATGTTACCATAAATGCTCTATAAAATCGAAATAATTATAAAAGTTAATATTTTGGTGTTTTATTAAGTGTAAGATCAAACGAAGCGAGCTCGGGACAGGGCATCCCGACTCGGACAGGTTAGGTTAGAAGGAGATGGCGGGGTCGAGTGAGCGAGCGAAGCGCTCGATCTTACACTCAATAAAACACATTGAAGTAATATGTACTTACGTACTAGAACAGCTATCTTATACAAAAAATGTGCCCTACTCTATGTTCGCGCGATTGTTTTTTTATCATAGAATAAACATAGGTAGAATGACCCACAGGTAATTGTAGATTGTATTGTTAAATAGGTAAATTATATCGAGAACAATATTTAAATTTTGTCATTTATTTTGTTTATTATATTTGCTTATTATTTAATATAATATTATATCATAATTACATTTTAATGATATTCTTATCTGAATATTTTAAAAGGTATCTAAGTCAAACATAAAAAACGTACTAAATGTATGTTTGACAAAACTTATTAACATAACATTTAAATTACAAATATAGTTATTTAAATTAAAATAAAAGTCGTTCATAAATGCTGGGCACGCGAGAGTTAAAAATGGACGAATTTATACCACTTTGACTTTGATGTGGAAACCTAAAAATAAAATAAAAGAATAATAAGCAGATTTAAACATGAAAAATTTTGCCAAATTATAGTAACTTATATATATTTCTACAAAAAAATGTGTATAATAATATATTCGTCCTATACTTTAAGTACCCACAGAAATGTCGCATCTGAACATATTAATTTCATAATCTATATTCCATGACACGAGATGGCGTCTTAGGAATAATTTGTTTTATTATTAATACATAATACGTTTTTATTGATTAGGTATCTTATTAACCGATGAAAAGTAATTCCTTGGTTTTTACTGACATTTTTTGTGCAATATCTATATATCTGTTCACACGACGGCATAATTTTATCAAGAGATTTTTTTAAATCAACACAACACGTGTCAACTCTATAAGCGCCTAGCGATTGACTGATTAAAGTGCGGTGTATGCACCTCAGTTGAGTGGAACAGAGTAGCAGAATGCAGTGTCGCCTTTAGTACGTAGTGCATAATAGCTCAATGATAAAACACCAAAAAAATAATAATAAACAAACATTTTTCAATATTTTTTTGTAGTTGTTCGTTTTTGTGTAGATTATGAAAAAAAAAAATAACAACTTATTTGTAAAAAAGTTAAACAATTATACGTGAATTATATGTTATGTATCAATATCCGGAATCCATCTTGAGTCAAGCACTTGTCTTTCCGCCTAAAGTCAGCACTTCCGGCTACCTTACCTCCATGGAGGGGGCACCCCACCACCGTTTTTGCTTTGTTATTTAAGTAGTGATGAGCACCAGGTCTCGTCATTATAGCGTTGTTTTTCGCGCCTTTTACAAGTCAGCCTTTGTAAGCACGAAAAAGTTTCAATTTTACTAAAACTAAGTGATAAGTAACTACCCTACTGATAACATATGGAGGTACAAAATGTCGACGAATTTACATTATTAAATTCTCAAAAACGCGTGCGTACTTCATCATCGAGTTCGGTGGTTCATGATGATCATCAGTGATTCGTCAGAAAAAAGTGTTTGCAGTCATACAAGGAGACACAAGAAAAGAAAAATGGATCAAACCGTGAGTGATGAACACTTTGAATTTTTATCCCAGCAAGTGGCCTTTTTAACTAATATTATTACAAAATCTAGTGAAGTTACATGCCAAAATCAAAAAATAGTCCCTTTACTTAATCTTAACTTGCACCGATCTACAACAGAAGGCGGTGACAAAATAAACCAGCTCAAGCTATCAGATTTAAGTACCATGGTAAAAGATCCTATTTCCCCACGTGCAAATGAAATACATTTAAAGAAATTAGTAGAATTACAGCGTTTCAATTGTGATGATTGGTATGCTGTACGGTTTATCGATACCCAGAAAAAAATATTTATCTACCCCCGGTTTTGTCGAACTTGCTGTAAATGATTCGCTAAAACTATTTGAATCTGCAATGTTGCGTAATGATCCTCGTTCTTATTTGCAGAACATTCCTTCGCCGGATTAACTAACGCCTTACTTTTCCAAAAAGAGGAATTACAAAGAGCATTACAAGCAATAGTGGATTTTGCCAGTGATTCTCAACAAACAGACTCCAAATACATTATTTGATAAAAAAACGTTATTTTCTAAGGAGTCACCATATAGCAAAGTAACTGAACATTTGTTTCAAATAGTTTGTGGTAGACGAGCGAATCTTGTTAGCTTACGCAGAGGTTCATTACTGCGACAGATTCCTGAAGAATATCATCGCGAAGTTTTGCAAGAAAAATCCCTCCTAACGTAGAAAATCTGGTCGACGACTATTCCATTCAGACCTACCTTCAGAAAATTGGAGGGGCAGATAAATTGATCACTTAATCCCGATCAATGCCTCGTACTCAAAAAGAAATTTTTTATGCAAATATCTTAATCGCATTCTTCTTTTAAAGATGACCATCGTAAATGACTCGTCAAAAATTTCAAGGCGGTTATCTGAAACAATTGTTTGGAGCAATTTAGGCGCGCCGGAACAAATATGCAGACTATTAAGCGGCTCGTACATCCCATTCATACTCAAACCGCCTCTAATACTTCCAAATCAAATTGTGATTCAGAGCTACAGGACCAAAATTTCCTTAAATATGACTCTTCAAATTCAAAGTATTTTAAATTCCGAAGTACCTCAACTACTGAGAGTTTCCTTTCCACATTCTTTTTGGTGCCAAAACCAGACTGCAGCTACCGTTCAATATTCAATTTGAAACAACTGAACAGGTTCGTCAAAACGAAACCCTTCAGATTGTTCAGCCACTTTCGAGTACCCACCTTCCTGCAGCATCTGGATTGGATGGCAAAATTAGACCTAAGCCAAGCCTACTTTCATGTTCCGATTGCTCGGCGTCATCGAAGATACTTGAGACTAAATTATCACATCAATTCAAACCAGCACCAACTGGTCCTGATGTCCTGCTTACCGTTTGGCCCTTCCTCTGCACCGAGAACGTTTACCTCAATAACAAACTGCGTAGCAGAGTTTCTCAGGAATCGGGGCATCAGATGTGTAGTTTATTTGGACGATTTTCTATTGGCAAGCCAGTCGATGCAACAACTACAAGAAGATATACCATTAACGATAAAGATCATGCAGTTACTAAGTTGGACAATAAATTTCGAAAAGTCTGTGCTGATTCTGACACAGTGCCTCGAGTTTCTCGGCATAACATTTTATTTATTTATTTGTTTAACGTTGTAATTATACATGATAAAGAGGATATAATATGGTACAACATAAGCTTAATGAAAACTTTACCGTGTACCACAAGCCGCAGACATTAAAATTTTTACATATGAGCTACACCTTAATCTACACAATATGTTTAATGCAATACTACTAAACACTAAACAGCAATTGGCACGGTCAACACGCGGTAAATCGACAATACATACGTAGTTACCTAATAGTGCACAAGAAAGGTGAGTCTTGCCACCGCCCACTTCACCGCGTCAAAAACCGGTCGTTCCTGCGTTGCGTATACGTATAGGGGGTATCAATTAGTTAGTTACTTAATATTTAATAGTAGACGAATATACTGATTATTCTTAGGTTGTATATCATATACTAGGTATATTTAGGAAATATAGTTAGTAGGGATTATAGTATTTTATTTTATTATTTTTTTCAGTTTGAAGTCTGATATAGACAGTTCGTGTAATAGTGTTTTAATTTGTGTTTAATATTTTTATGATTAATTTCATTTTGAAAAGAGGTTGGTAACTGATTAATTAAATTCGGAACCATGTATTCTAAAGTACGTTTTCCGTATAAATTATTATAATTAGGTTTAGCTAATTTTGGTTTGGCCGCACTGCGGGTTTTACAATAGTTAGAAATGCTATATTTTTTTAAATCTTCATTAAAAATTCTTCATTTAAGAGAGTATATTCTACTTTTTTATGCACCGGTATAACTTTGCAGTAATCGAATAGGTTATGGTAATCAGAATCCCTGTGTACGTTTTTAACTTGGTCTGGGACTATAGTTTTTAAGATGCGTAGTTGCAATTAATAAACGTTATCTAAATGTGATTTGTAAGTTTGCCCATAACTAGACAAGCCATATGAAATTTTAGATTCGGCCAGTGATTTACGAGGGCGGCACTGAAAATTTCGGGAATCAAGGAAGTGACATATCATTACTATTTAAAGATGTATTTATTGCTTTTCGCTGTTTTTTTTCCATACGATGGAACCAATCATTGAAGCAACCATTCCATTCGGAAGTTGGGGGTCTCCAAAATGGCAGTTTTGTAGGCGTCCACAGCTTCTTCAGGTGATGAAAATCTCTGTCCACGCAATTTATTTTTTATTTTAGGGAAAGTATAGAAATTATTAGGGATTAGGACAGGGCTGTACGGCGGATGGTCTAATAATTCTATGTTTTCTTGCTCTAAAGACTCTTTTGTTCTGTGTGCGGTGTGAGAACTCGCATTGTGATGGGAGGATGGTGCGGCGGTTGCAGATCTCTTTACAGAGTTCAGAAACGACCTGTGGCAAACAAATGCTAGCATACCATTCTGCATTAACCGTTCTTTGTCCCTCAAGAGGAATAGTCTTACCATGGCCGGTTTCGGAGACAAACGTGGCCACCATTGGAGACAAACGTGGCCACCAATTTTTTTGCAACACTCCGTGAACGAACAATTTTTGTTGCCTTTAACTCATTTTCGAACACCCAAACTCGTGACTGGTTTTTTGTTTCGGGTTCGTACGCGTATATCCAGGATTCGTCACCTGATACGATGTTGTATACAGCATTTGAGGATCCTGCGTGGAATGTTTCGAGAGTTCTGACGCACCAAGTAACGCGAGCCGCTTTTTGCTCTTCACAGAGCGAATGCGGTATCCATCGGGAAAACAACTTTTTTACACCTAATTGTTCATGCAAGATTATTTGTATTTGACTCATGCCAATGTCTAAAGTTGCCTGAATTTCGCGGTATGTCACATGTCGATCTTCCTCAATCAGCTTACGCACAGCATGAACGTTTTCTTGGGTGACTGCAGTTTTTGGACGACCTTGACTGGGATCGTCACTGAGCTTGACACGTCCACGTTGAAACCGAAAAGAGGCTTCATCACCCAAAATACTCAACACCTTTGTGTTAAACCACTTCCAAAGTCATAATAAATCATAGCTCTTGAATTTTCTCGAGTCGATTCCATTTTCTCAACGACTAAAGAAGTTTGACAAAACCTTGTGACAAGACGGATAATCTTTTTTTAAATAAATAAATGGTATTCGATTTTTAAAACCAAGGAGTTTTCAATTAAAAAGATTTAAATATGACAAGAACAGTGGAAATATTCCATTTCCGATACTTTTAGTGCAGCCTAGGTATATAATTCTAGCAGAATTCTATAGGGAATTTTATACTTAATTATGGAGAATTTTGCTAATATGCTTCGAAGTCTATTACATACATACATAAATACATAAACACTCACGCCTGTCACCCAGAGGGGTAGGCGAGACTACAGACTTCCATTTGGCACGATCCTGACACACCTCTCTTGCCTCCTTCACATCCATACACGTACGCATACATGCTCGTCGGTTAAGGGTACTCCTAATTTGGCCCGTTTTCAATAAATCGCCAATTTGGTCGATAAATTTTCGCCTAGGACGTCCCTTTCCGACTCTGCCATTCACTTCTGCACCATAAATTTTCTTTGTCACTCTTTCCTCATTCATTCTTTCCACATGACCAAACCACCGAAGCATTCCTTTCTTAATCCTGGTCACAACATCATCTTGCAAACCACACTCTTCTCTTATTACACAATTTCTTACCCTGTCATTCAGATTCAGCCCTAACATACTCCTTAACGACCGCATTTACTGCGTTTATTCTACTCTCGTGCTTCTTCTGCCACACCCAACTTTCACTACCATACGTTAAAGTAGGGACCAACACAGCATTGTGAATTGCTATACCCCTCCCTCCTCCCTCTCCCTATATATCTCCCATCCCTGCTAAATACGCAGCCCAAATATACAAACTCATCTACTTGCTCGATCAACTCCCCCTTCTATTCTTATTTCACAAATCGTTTTACTTTCTTCTCTTTCAAAAACCATAACCTTCGTCTTACTTGCGTTCACTTTCATACCCCTATCTTTTAATGATCCGTTCATTAATGTAACCATCATTTGCAACTCGGCCGCCGACGACGCAAGAATAACTTGATCATCGGCGTACAAAAGGCATTTGACGGTTAACTCACCCATTCTTAATCCTCATTCTTCAACTTTCAAATTTTGCAAACAACTGTCCATAAAAAGGTTGAACAGCCACGGGGAAGCCACACAGACCTGTCTGACACCTTTATGGATGTCAAACCAGTGCGAGTAGACCCCATTGATCCTAACACAAGCACTAGAGTCCCTATAAAGAGACTCCAATGCCTGTATCAAGCCAGCGCTCAACCCAAATGAGTTCAGTGTTTGCCATAGCAAATCCCTATCCACTCTGTCATAGGCCTTTTCCAAGTCCATGAACGCACAAAAAACCTTTTGGTTTTTGGCCAGAAACTTCTCTGCGATCATGCGCATGGAAAAGACTTGATCTGTACATCCCATTCCCTTTCTAAATCCCGCTTGCACATCCCAAATTTTTCCATCAGTTTCTTTCATGACCCTTTCAATCAGTACCTTAGCATACAGTTTTCCCACAATGCTAAGAAGGCTGATGCCACGGTAGTTTTTACAGTCCTGCTGCGACCCTCTTCCTTTATATACTGGGACTATCACGGCTTTGCACCAGTCTACCGGTACCCGCTTCAGTTCCCAGCATAAATTAAACAAGGTGTGCAGCAGGTCTGCCACCACTTCCTCTCCAGCCCTTAGCATTTCGAGTGAAACTCTATCATATCCGGCAGCCTTACCTACTTTAATGCTTTTCATTGCTTTCATTATTTCATCTATACTTATCTCGCTACCTCTTTCCTCTTCTTTCGGTGTTTCTACTTCACTTAGTACACACGTTGTCTCCTCACTCATAAACACACTTTCAAAATATTCCTTCCATCTCTTTAAAACTCAAAACTTCATCATTCAGAATATAGCCATTCTCGTCTCTTATAGCATTCATCATAGGCTTTTTTGAATGTCCCCTGGCAGTTCTTACAAGTTTCCAGAAGATTTTAATATTTGCCTGGAAGTTATCCGATATTATTCTATCATTCTTATCCGTTCTTTCTTGCTTTTTTCTTTCAACTACTTCTTTTACTCTCTTATTAAGATGTCTAAAGACTGCCTTTTTTCTTTCAATATCACCATTCGTACCACTAGAATTAGCAGCCTTTGTTGCTAGTAAATCTAGCCATGCTCTCTTCTTTGCTTCAACTTCCATACGTATCTCATCATCCCACCATAACGTATTATTTTTCCTTTCATTCTTTCTCTTACTAATACCACATACTTCGGTAGCTGCATCCACTAAACCTTTCTTTACATTTTGCCATATATTCTCCAAGTCTAACTCCTTCATACATAATTCATCAAAACCACTTATATTTTCTTTCAGTCTACATTTGAACTTGTTTTTATCACTTTCATCTTGTAACCTTTCTGTTCTAATACGCTGTAACGCAGTGGTAGACACAGACGATCGATGGCGCCAACGCCTGAATAGACCATTAATTCGGCATAAAACTAAATAATGATCCGTTCCTACGTTAGAACCCCGGTAAACTCTCGTATCTACCACTGCGCCCCTCAATCTTTCATCCACAATTATGAAATCTATCATGCTTCTATCGTCACCTCTTTCCCAAGTATACATGTGAATCCTCTTGTGGCGAAAGCAAGTGTTCGTCACAAAAAGATTCTTTTCCATACATACGGTGAGAAGACTCACCATTCTCATTTATACTTTCATCACCAAACGTTCCCAATATCCTTTCATAACCAAGCCTCCTGACCCCAACCCTTCCATTAAAATCTCCTAGCATAATAATATTTTCATTTCCCTTACACTTCATTAACACCATCCTTACCATTTCCCAAAACTGCTCTCGGATATAAGTGGGCTTAGACATGTCTGGGGCGTAGACCCCTAACACAAACAACTTCTTTAAGCCCACTTTCATTCGTATCCATAGCAGTCTTGGGCTTACACATTCATACTCTTTCACACATTGGCCCATTCTTTCTGAAAGGATGATACCTACTCCCTGGCATGCCCGCTCGATCTCGTCTACACCAGACCAGTATGCGGTATACATGCCATGTGTAGTGACATCCTTCCCCTTTCTTTTCGTCTCATTTACGCATAACACATCTATTCCTCTATCATACATCATATCGCATACTTCATCCATTTTATCATTCATTGCCCCACATACATTCAATGTAGCCAGACAGGCCTCTGCATTCCACTTTTCGCCTCTCCGGGAGACAGAACGTGACGGGTGGCGAACCTCGTCGCCGACACATCCTCAATATGATGTTTCCAGTTGAGTCGACTATCTATTGTAAGTCCTAGGTAGGTTTGAGTTTCTACCGGCTCTAATTCTGCACAATGACAATTGAGAGTCAATTGTACTTTGTGATGGCATAGGTGGTCATTCACAATAATGCTAGGTATCACTTTACTCCTATTGTGACTTCAACTTGTATACATTAGCTTGGTCTTGCTAACATTGATAACTAATCCTTTATGAGATCATTGTGTTAATTAAGTTCTTCTTGCAGAATGCGGCCAGTTTCGTTAATATTTTCGCCTGCTGCAACGAGGCACGTATCGTCGGCATACTGGTATATTTCGCAACGCCTGATGATGTTTGCCAGACTATTAACATAGGTGATGTAATGCAATGGTCCAATTACAGAGGCTTGTGCTGTACCTACCGAAGAGTTAACATAATAACTAATGGCAACACCCACTTTTACCGCATATTTTCTGTCATTAAGGTATTCTCTGCACCATGACAATAATGGGTCTCTGATATTAATGGCCACTATCATTAAGACTGTCATTAGCTTATTATGATTAAGTGTATCAAACGCTTTAGTATAGTCTACAAAGACTACAAAGAAGTGTCTCTTATTATCTAAATGCTTGTAAACGCTGTTGGTGAAGGTCGATAACAGTTGGGTGATATTTTTCTTCGGTTGAAAGCCATAGTGTTTTTCCGTTATTATATTATTTTTAGCGTAGAAGTCATAAACCTGTCTGCAAATTTATTTTTCAGCAATTTTATCTATTACGGGTAAAATAGTAATTGGCCTATAGTTATCATGTACCATAGTGCTACCCTTCTTATGAATACGTCTAACTATGCGAGTTTTTAAAATATGGGGATACTTTACACTTTATATACAGGCATTAATAAGATTTGCATTTACGTCACTGACTAAGGTGCATATTTTTTTATGTCTAGGTCGTATTTCCGTCAATACCTGGCGCTTTATTACTGTTTAGGTTGCGTGCTATTTTTTCTACTGCATTAGCATTAGCAGGTACAAAGCGTAAGGAGATATTCGCTTGACAATGACTTATCCAATAAATTCGAATGACAATGACTTATCCAATAAATTCGAATGACAATGACTTATCCAATAAAGGCAGATTACATTTTTATTTTAGGGATTGAGTTTTTTTTTGAAAGTTTCAGTAAATGAACATGCAATCTTATATGGAGGATAACTACTGTTACCAAAGTTGTCGAGAAATACATCATCAATCGATTTTGTAATTCGCCCCGTTAATTTATTTAATATCTGCCATAGGTTTCTAGGATTATGTATGTTCTTATTAATTTCTAATTTAAGCCACTTATTTTTACTTTTTTTTAATCACTGTGTTTGCATATTTTCGTGCCTTATTGTAAGCTTGCTTTAAAATACTATTTCTACAGTCTTTTGTCCACTGATTAAATATTTGTCCCTGTGTTCGCATATTTTCAGAATTTTTTTGTTCATCCATTCATTACCAATACATTTTGGTTTAAGGATACTTTTTGACTCTTCCCTACATTCCGTATAACACTTATTAAAATTTTCGTGTATGAAATTGTAAATACTATAAGGACAAGATAATTCCCTCGATTTTTCCCATTCTATTTGGGACACAAAACTCAATGCGAAGTTCTTATCGGAGAAAAAGTGCTTAACGCTACGCAACGCACTTCAGCAACAGCTCTTAAACGGCAAATGGTCCCTCAAACAGTATCAGATCTTAATGGGGAGACTCAATTTTGCCACTTTAATAACCCGGAGAGGTCGGCTTCACTGTCCAACACTGCAATACTTCAGTCGACAGTTGCCAAAGGACCACCCTTACCGCCAAGTGAGTATTCCACTACCATTTCAATCCGAGATGGAGTGGTGGCTACAAGCCGTAGGTCAATCTGTACCGATGCACATGAATGCAGTAGTAAGTAGCAACTCGCCTTCTAACAACCGATGCTTCAGATATCGGCCGGGGCGCTCAACTCGGCGATACAAGTACCTGTGGACCTGGATGAATCGGCAACTAACCTGGCACGCAAACAGAAAAGAAATGTTTGCAGTTCATGCAGCAATATCACACGAACGAAATCTGCTACAGAACTCACAAGTGCTTCTTCGGTCAGACAATCGAACAGTGGTTTCTTATATAAACGGCGAAGGTGGAAGCAAGTGCAAAAAGCTTCTCGAGCAAACTCTACAACTGCTTGCACTTCTAGGCAAATTCAATATACACCTTCAGGCCCATTACTTTCCAGGCAGATTCAATGTCGAAGTGGACGCTTTAACACTCCAAAAGGTTTGCCCCGAGTGGCACCTCACAATAGCGGCGACATCCAAAACATTTCGAATATGGGGCACACCGGAGATAGACCTATTTGCGTTAAGTACTGCTCACGTAACCCCGAAGTATGTTTCAGTGAACATTCAGGACAAGCAAGCACAACATCATAACGCATTCTGTCACCAGTGGAACTACAAACTAGCGTTGTTATTCCCACCACCCAACCTTATTCCCAGAGTCCTAAACCATTTAAATCAAGCCAACGGAATATATCGAGGGTTTACTGCAAAAACCAGCTAAGTTCAGCGAAGTTAGTTTTGAGTTAAAGAGTTCTAAAAGTTTACACCTAATTTAATCACTAAAATTTTGGTAGGTCTTACATACATTAGTAGTCATATGTTAGAATATTTATATAAGATTATGTTTATGTGAAGTCTGAATAAATATGTGTGACAGAAATCTTGAAATAAGGATTTTTTCAAGTAAAGGCGTGCAGTTAGTCGGTTTTACATGTCAATTGCTAAAATGCAGTTTTACCGAGATAATTGATGTTTTATATGGTTTGTGATTAATGATGGGTAGCTGATAATAAATAACTACGTTTTAAATACTGATACAATCATAAAAGAAATAATTTATTGTGTAAGCTATGAAAGAAAAAAGTTAGTTGGTTTTACCTGTAAATGTTTTTTAACTTTTAGGATAAAAGTGTTGTAAAATAAGAGGTTAAATTCACAATATTATTTTTATTGACTAATAAAAATTATAATAGAATCAGTTTGAAAGTGGAGAAGAAGAGTGTGGAGTGTAACTACTATAGTATTTTCATTAAATTTAACAAATATCTTAATTATTAAGAAATCACTCTTCTTCTCCACTTACAGTTTCATCTACTGCTGGTTCTGGCAATTTATCAATAGCTTGACTGTCAACATTTAAATTTTCAAACCAACCGTGAACTTCCTCTGGTATGATGCCTTTCCTACATAGATTTAAAAGATCTTTTTTCTTGGCCGCGCTTATTTTAAGTGGCTCTTTATAAAGGCAGTTTAATTGATCTGGAAATCGATAACTTACAGGTAAATCATTTTCAGTAAGTCGTTTCTTCTTCCTTGTTGAATAGTTGTGATTCTGCGCGCCATCTAATTGGAAAGTTGATGGATTGTCTCCAATATCCATTACGTTAAATTCGTCGCTCATGTAATAGTTGAAATAAATTTTTCTGTCCTCCCCCTTTAACATATTTTATCCGCTTTATCTTCAACCATTGAACTTGTTTTCCTTTCTCATCTTTCGTTCTATTTTTCATAATCTCACCTGCAAGGTGCTTCAGGTCAAGGAACTCATCATACTTAAATTCTTTTACATGGTATGGTTCTCTTGTCATTTTCTTACCATCAATTTTAATACTTTGCCTGCGTCTAGCACGTTTGAAAATAGAAATCCATTCCATCATGGAAAAAACAGGTATTTTTTTTTGCAAATTCTATACTACTGTGCATAGAATCTGCTTCCATTTGCGTGTGCCCAGATTCTAAAAACTTTTGTTCTATGACTTTAAGGTGGTCAATTTTTTGGACTGCCAAATTGGTTTCGGTTTTGGCCACCACAAGTGTCTGAAAATAAGCTAATTTCTGTAACATTATCACAGACACAATTTAAAAGGTAGTGTAATAATATGGTTCCAATTTCAGAACTGCCTTTCCTTCCATTTACCTCTGACCATGTAAAACAAAAGGCATTATTGGGTAGAGCTGCTTCGTAGATTGTGAGGTTGTATACACACAACTTTCTTGAATAATAGAGCAGACCTACGTCGCTGGCAGGTATTTGAAGTACTGCTTGCAAATCAAATGTTACAGAGCTAAAATGCTCATCTGTGTTTGATCTAACTTTATCCTTCTCTTTTTCTCGATTGCAAATTTTCTTTCTTTCTTGGTGAGCTAGGTAGTCATCTTCAAGTTCTCTTTTTTTCTCTGTATCTGCTTTAGCATAATTAGTGCATATTAAGCATTGATCTTTCCTGGGCACGAAAAAACTCAGATTATACTCTTTTGAAAATATTCTACGGTATGTTATTTCAGAAGCTGGCTCAGAACCATTTTTTAAACACTCATCTTTGTACAATAAATACATCCTTCGAATATTAAGATTTTTATCTAAATACCTACGTTTGGTGTCTTTTCTACTATAATGGGCTTCCATACAAGGAAATGATTCTATGTGTTTTTTTATTCCTTGGATAATGTCAGGTTTCATTTTATTAACTGGTTCGTGTGCACCTCTTTGGTCATTTACATCAAAACAGTTCATGTCATTCCGTTTATTGATTGCATCAGTTATTACTGCAGGAGAAATACTTAAAGTATTACAAAAAAATTTCTGACATACCTGTTTTTTTAAATTTTGTTTAGTAAAGAAACACTTCTTTGTATATTTTTTTTCTGGACGACGTCGATTACGCACAGAGAGAACTCTTTTTGGCATTTGAATGGTAACATTGGCTAAAATGAAATTCTTTCTGCCCAGAAAATCTAAGTTCCAAAAGAATCTACAAAACTTATCTCTATCAGTAGTATCAAAGACATCAGTACACTTAAATTGACACTTGGAGCAATCTATCTCTTTTGGTACCTTAGCTGGTCTGATGTTAGCTTTGGATTTATAAGGCAAACCATCTGCTCGTCTTTTCTTAACTACATTACGAGCCCAACTGCTTGGGTCTGATTTTCGCCATCTTTTTAACGGTTCAATAAGTAACCAAGCTTTTTTAAAAACCTCATCCAAAATATCTTCAATTATAGCTGTAATTTCGCGATGTTGTTCATAACCTTGGTCAAAAACTTCAATATTGTTCTGTATGTGCTCGACATCAAACTTTTCAGCATTAAAATTTTCTTTGTTTCCTAGTAAATCTTCTAATGTTACAAGATTGTTGGAATTTTCGTTTTCCAGTTGGTGAGAGAAAATTGGCAGGCGATAAGTTGGGTCGTCAGCATCGGAAACATCTCCAAATAAACTTTCCAATTCTGTTTCAACATTATCATCAGAATCTTCGCCTAAAAGAGACACAAATGCTAAGTTAAGATTCAGATTAAGAGGTCTTAAATTATAAATTTTGCATGTACTTTATTAAGAAAAAGATAGTATTTTTACCTTTTTGGTATTTAGAACAGCATGCCGTAGATTTAATGAGAGTATTGAAGAACGTTTCGTTACCCGGACCATCTAAAAATACAGTATAAAGTTTAAGCATTTTGATTAGTATTGGATCTTATTCTTTTTTTAAACGTTTAATTAAACGTTTAATGTTGGCATTTGACTTGTCATTTTTATAAACCTTGACACAAGCCATCCATGTTTATTTGAATACTAGAAAGTATGTAAAAAAAGTCGTCTTTATCGATCTCAAACGCGAGTGATAATATAATAGTCTATAGTAGTATGTACTATTATAAATTAAGTACTTAATATTTTACCATGAATTTGTGAATGATGAAAGTCTATAGCATCCGCGTTGTTATAAGATGTAGATTGAATTTCTTGAATATCTACCAGGCCTGCATGTGAACTTTGTTCATTTTCTAAAAAATAAACAACTCTATAAGAAAAAATGAACAGAAATTGTAATAAAACTTCGTTAGAAAACACAACCTCGAAATTTAACTTACCAGAAACCTTTTCACAATTTACGGCCACTAAACATACTAGTTTTTTTCCTCTTGACATCATCTTAACAAATATAATCTGTCACAACATTTACAATTACTAAAAACTAAATTTAAATACTACGCCCGATACATTCACGGTCTTTTCGCGGTAAACACTCCAAGCGAACTAAGCCATCGGCAACCTGTTAAAACGTGTTGACCGCGGTTATTTTTTTTTCCATAGTGTCACATGACGACAATTCAATCGAAGTATATTGCATAAACAAGCTAGAATCGCTTAGTCGGTTTTACATGCTAACGATCCGAGATAAATGGAATATTTTAGTACAAGTATTTACAATTAAAGTTATATAGACGGTTTTTGCAGTAATGTTTTAATGGCATGATAAACAAGTATATTCTATTATATACGTTTATGTATTTCTAGTACTTTTTTACTGATTGTTCGTGAGAACATTTTGCGTAACCTATCAAAAAGAGAAAGGATTTAAGAACACTTAAAACTTTTTTCGGGATAACATTAAATGGAAATTTATTAGTAAAGAACTTTATGTTATTTTAGCTATTAAGTATAGGCCATTTTGCTTGATTTAACTGGTTTTACCATGAAATAAATTCTAAACGGCTTAACGTATCACTTAACCGGTTTTACCAGCATATAGAGCTCAAAAAACTTAGTACCTTCATGTATTTAACAAATTTTTTGAAAAATTGTCGTTTAGCAGGTTTTTGCAGTAAACCCTCGATATACGAGTATATATTAATTTAAATTAAATTTCCTGAAATGGAACAAGGTGTTTTGGAAAGCAGATGTTCAACACCGAGCTCTACAACCCCCACCCCCCCCCCTTATCGAATTCCAGACCCAGTCCACACTCTAGTGGACATGAGAACAGACATACACCCACCACAGATTCAAGACTTGCTTTTGGAAGCATGGCTGATTTTGGGTGGCAAGATATGTTAACAGAATGGACGGATAAAGAACAGAACTTGTTAATATCAAATTGGCAAGGCTCTACGATCAACGCATATAAACCAGCATGGAATAGATGGAAAAAATGGCGCGAGTCTAATTTGGTTAACTAGGTCTTGCTTACAGAACAATTTTAGTACATAAATCTGTGATTTCAACATTCAATCACTTAACTTCAAAAGTAGATTTCTCTTCAAATTTAACAATGTTAAAAGCAATATGTATGGCCCGTATCAAACCAGTAAAGCCACCAATTTGGAATCCTAAGTTTCTTATGCAGTATATAAGTAAATATAATTTTAATGAAAACAATCAGTATGAAGTATCTAGGCTTACAGCTACATTATTTACTTTTGGCTTCTAGTCGGAGAGTTCATGACCTGACTTTGTTGCATATTGACAATAACAGTTTAATAGACGAACAAAGTAGCTTAATCTTATGCCCAGCTTTTGGTTCGAAAACGGACAGCATTAATCGTAGACAGTCTGGTTGGAGGCTTAAAGAACATCCTGATAAAAAATTGAATATTATTTTCTGAATAAGACAATTATTAAAGAAAGATATCTAAAAATCGCAGAAAGGCTATAAATAATTTATTTATTACAGATAGAGGTGACGCTAAGCCAGCATCCCGTACTGTGATTGCTGGGTGGGTAAAATCGCTTTTGAGAGAGGCGCATATCGAAGCTACTCTTGGTTCAGTAAGATCAGCAGTATCTTCTTTAAATTGGTTAAAAAAAATCCCTAGATAAAGTTCTTGCGACGGGTAATTGGAAAACTGTGCACGTATTTCAAAATTACTAAAAAAAAAATTAAAGGAAATTGCGGCAAATAATTCTGTATCGTTATCAAATTATTTTGATGCCATTAATTGATAGAGCAAATATTATATTAGTTTGATTTATTACTGTAATTAACAAAAGCAAAACTTGTCATGATCGCCAGTTACAATCAAATAATGCAATTGTGGTGTAATATATGATGTTTGTTGCTGTGTATCTCTTGCAATAATTCTTTTATTGTTTACCTTACACATTATAGCGTTAATAACTATCATAAGTTATTAGCACCAGGTGATAACAAACACATCACTCAAGATGGATTCCGGATATTGATACATAACAAATAATAGAGAGTTTTACCATAAAATAAAACTTACCTATTATTTTTAATCAACTTCCGGAATCCAGGTAAGGGCTACCTAGTGCATCCTGAGTGCCATAATGACAAGACCTGGTGCTCATCACTACTTAAATAACAAATCAAAAAGGGTGGTGGGATGCCCCCTCCATGGAGATAAGGTAGCCGGAAGTGCTGACTTTAGGCGCAAAGACAAGTGCTTGACTCAAGATGGATTCCGGATATTGATTAAAAAATAGGTAAGTTTTATTTTATGGTAAAACTCTATTATAATAAGTTATTTTTTTTTATTCCTGTAATATTTTTTCGTAAATACGCCGTAAAAAGGAAGATTTAAAAAACTCGTCGAAAGCGGATGATTTTTCGATTTTCTGGAGCTAAAAAACGAGGGGACCGCGATTGTATAAAATTACCGTTAAAACTTTGTAGGAGAGCAATATAAAGTTAACACTTACAAAAAAATAATTAAAGCTCTGATTTATTATTCATACAGAAAAGTGAAAATATAATAATAACAGTTTTTAATTTTTGATACTCATATTTTGGACTAATGAAGAAATATTAAAATATAGTATTTCTAAAAATAAAAGTGGCTTGGCTTGGTGTTTTCTTTGACTTAATATTTTACAAAAATACAAATTATCAATATTATACTGTCGACAAAATTATTGTTAGTTTCAACTTTTTTATTTATTATAAGCCTGTATTTGACTACTTTAACTTTAGAAATCATGAAGTAACGAGGTAATTATTTTATAATTATAAGATTTTTATTTATTTTTTTAATTTAACCCTTAAGTGCATGAACTTTTTGTTTTAACTAATTTAAACATATAATTTAGATGTTTAGGTCTTGAATTTGGGAAAAATAAAGAAAAAAATTATTTTCATTTTTTTAAAGTAATTTTAATAAAAAAAAAGTTTGTATCATTTTTGATACATTATGTATTAACGTCATTTTTTGTACGGTAAGTTAAGTAACTTTCCTACCTAACCGATTTTGTTGAATAGTTCCCAGACATAATATCCCTTTCTTAGCTAAGTAATACATATGAGATAAAGAGGTGTGGAAATTGTGAAAGTAAACAATGTGGTTTACTTTGCGTGGGATAATCCTCAACAATTTTACAACAGTGTTCCCAACCACTCCCAGATATGGTTCGTTCTCCATCATAGGTTCATTATCTTTTCCTGTATAAATTATAATTTTGTATGCATACCCTAGCAGTGAACATAGCATATAAAATTTGAACCCCCCATTTGTGAGGTTTATTTGGGAGGTATTGTTTTAGGAAGTGGCCCATTTTCGTTGCACACATTTTTATGTGTTCATCTGTGGAAAGCCTTTGGTCTATATGAATGCTGGAAACTCTCATTCAGATGTTCTACCTCAGGTCGCAGCTTGTATAGTTTATAGTGGTTGGGGTTGTCTATAGGCAGACGTTTGAAGTTGTCGTTAAAATAGAATATATATCTAATTTTTTCAAATCTATATAATGTCATACTCTGAATAATTGGCATAATTTCGTATTTTTTATTCCAGTAAGCTCCTATATTTGGATGATGAAAAACTGACATAGATATTAATTCCCATCAAGTACTTTTGTAACTCTGATTTTGTGATTGGATCTGGTCGGTCGGGATTTTTTTGGATTGAATATCGAGTAGACCTTTAACAATCTTATCTAAAAAATCAGGAGTAATAAATAACTGAAAAATTGATATGGACCTTCTAGGGCTATAACTTAGATAGAATATTTTGTCTCGTTCTGAAAACGAATGCTATCTTCCCAAAACTTTGAGGAATGTTTCCTCCATTTGAGTCTAGCAGTTTCAATCGTAATATGACACCTGTTGGGAATATTTTGTGCAAAACCACGACCTTCATTCACTAAGGGAGGATTATCATCATTTCGCAAATAATTTTCGCCATTTACAAGAGGTGGTACACCTTCGTCCCGGATTTGAGGCTTATGGAAATCACCGTAACCCATTTGTTCTTCCCCGTGATTTTCTAAAGCAGCACGAATTTCATCAATATTTGGGTGATGATCTAATTCATAATCATCAGACTCTGCTTTCTCCTCCGATAAAAATCCACCTTCCAATATTGCTAAAAGGTCTTCAATCTCATCTTTTATTTTTCTTTTTTCCATGCTCCAAAAGTGAGGAAAAACATATAACAATCACATATCATACAAGCCTACTATAGTAGCGAAAATGTACAAACGGGACCTACTGACTGCATAATGTATCATTTTTGATACAACTAAAATTATCATTTTTTTTATCAAACGCCAGTAAAATTCACTTGAAATATGTGTTTAACAAAGAAACAATACTCTAACCTGTATTTTTAATATTTTTCCGGTCAACTTTTGTGTTAAAATCACTCCAAAATAAATCAATAAAAATTTATAATCCCACGAAAAAGGTTATGACAGACAGGAAAAAAGTTTTCATAGTTACCGCCAAATTATTTAGGAAATGGTCATCGATTACTTAAACATTCTAAAAGATGATTAGGCATAGGACATATTTAACATACAGCGTAGTTGTGTGTACGTAGTTTAACAAAATTATGAATCGATAATCTCATCGTATCATTTTTGATACAATATGCACTTAAGGGTTAATTACGTGGCCCTTTAGTGTCGACAAAATACAACTTTTAGGTTCACAACATCTAAAATGTCGTCTGAAGAGCGCATATTCAAATATGTCCAAGTCGAAATCTACGCGATCGCTTTGGAGCGCGTAATATTGACGCACACTACAATGTTACCTCTGTGTGCGTGTCAGGACGAGCGTGAGGCTATAATAGTTGCCTTTAGTTTCACGAATCACTTTGATCTTTGATTATATAATACCTGTCTTTGATACTATTGGAACTAAAATAATAAAAAAATAATTTCCATATAATGGCTTATATAGTGTATAGAAATCGGAGGCTAATATGTGGAAATTTATTCTTTTAGTAAATTGAAGTCTGCTTTACATTTTCACCCTATTGAGTGTATTATAATATATGTTCTAATTGAAAAATATGTATTGTATAAAATATATATCATTTGATAAACTTATTCTCTTTCATAATGTAAACATAATTCATCAAACTAACAATTTCATTAGTTTCGGCGGGGATTAGTTTTGCCAGGTCTGGCAAGTAAAATTTCGGGACGGAAGGTAAAAATAATCGGGGATTCAGTTTTCATATCCGGACATCACAATGACTACAAAATATAGGTTTCTTTGTAGCCTTTTTGTGCTTTATTGAGAGCCGTGGTAGCTCAGATGGTCAACGCTCACTGTAAATATCACAATATGCGAGTAATGCGAGAAAATGTGACTGTAACTTTACTTTACTTTTGTGCTTTATAATTATTATTCGAGTCTGATCTCATGAACGAATAACTTTTCATCCAAACATCGTCGTAAAAACTGCATTTTTTTCATTTTAGGCATATTAAAACATTTTTGAACTATTTGGTTTTTTTTGCAGTCCCTGAATTTTTCAAATCACTCATTTTAATATAATTCTGTTTAAAACTTTTGTGTTTTTTTTCGACTGGTGAGACAATGTAGTAAAAATATTTTAATGTGGTAGTAGCTAACAAATGTAATCATTTTTGTTTGTCAAAATTATGGATTAAAGTATAGAATAAGGATAGTGAAAATCGGGACATTTGGCGTCCCGATCAAGGGTGAATCGGGACGTGTCGCTAGACCCTTGAAAATCGGGACACCTGGCAACACTAGCGGGGATCGAACCCGGATTGTTCGCGTTTACGGCGAGATATCTGCCAAGTCGAGCAAAATAGCGTCACCGCCGTATCATCATTGCGAGACTTGGTTATATTACATGTTTTTGATGGCATGTCTTTGTTTAATCATAACGTTATCTCCACACTAGGAATTTTTCCTAAGTACATCGTGGGGGCAGTTTAAATACATTAATTTCACAAGGACAAACATCCAGACCTGGAACAATTATTTGTAGGTAATACAAATGTTTGTTCCATGTGGGATTCGAACCCGCTCAACTCATTACAAAGTCACTCCACCACGGAGCCAAAGAAGAAAGCCAACGATTTTGTATTTTTACTTGATCCGAATTGCTTACGTTCATTACTCATTTCTAAAAAAATATGTATGAAATAAAAATTTGCCACCATTACATCATTTAATATTTAAATAATACTATTATAAACATATTTCAAAATTACTTACTATCAAAAATATCGCTTATAAAAGTCTCAATCGTTTAAAATGCTCGATGGTGCTATAGATATCTAGTTATAATATAGTGTAGTATAGCCCTATCGGTATATCAATGCGATCGCGCGGTGCCGGTGAGAAAAAGTAATACGTCCTATCGTTGGGATTACCCGGAGCGTACTGAATCGAACGGCGTCTGCGCATGATGATTTATAGTATTTTTAAAATAATTATATAAAATAATTGACAAAATTAAACGAGCAAAATTTTTTTTTGGATATTTAAAATTACATGTTTTTGGATAAAATAATTTAAATAGATATGTTTATAACCAAATACATGGAAAAAATTACATTGAAGTAGACAGTTTTGGTGATTTTATAATATTATTTTATAATATTAAACAGAAATATTTTAGTAATTTAGGTTTTGCTATACACTAAAAGACTATATATTCCATTATAATAACGCTTAAAATAAAGTATTTTAGCTTATAATAATGTTTGTATTCAACCTGAAAGATAACTGATGCATATTTTCGTAAAACGCCGTGAAGGGATTGTCTTCGCCCGAAAAAACAGTCATTAAAAACTATGATTTTGCATTGCTGTGTACTAAATAAAGACTTCATCTTTCTAAAGCCCTAATTTTCAGCAAATAATCTCCTCACATCGTGACGATATCGCCTTTGGAAAAACCATAAAACATGTTTTCGACGCGAAACGCATATGCCCTTTGAATAGATATCTCTCTTCTTCCCATTATAATGGTGGAATTTTATCTTAAAATTTAAAATGGACTAACCTAGAGCCTATTATAGCCTATTATGTTAGATAGCCTATTTAATAAAAATAGAAAATATTAATATTATATAATATTGCATAACATACATTTAAAAAATACAATTGAATCAAGAATCTCCATCTTTTTTTGAAGTAGTCTTAAAATATATAATAATTTATAGAAGAATCGAGTACAATGGATGAAGATATGGGGGGAGGCGAGGGGGTTGCCAGCAGTGATGATGTCAATGATATCAGCAGTGCGGCCCATGAAGTGCTTAGTACTGGTATCAGGTAATTGTCATAACACAACATTAATTATTGTAGTTGTTAATAACTAATTACCCTAAAATTTTGATTATTATTTATGTATACATTAAAAGACAAGTGAACATTTAAAAAAAATATATGTTAACCTGCTTCTTAGTTCCAGTACAGCCGAGGCTGGAGCAGACATTTCCAGCAGTGGACAAACTGAGGCAGCTTTAATCTCGTCGACTGCAAATGGTCCGGCTGCGCTTCATTCATTCTCGATACTTCCACAACCACAGCAAACTAATGAGTAAGTATTTTTCAAAAAAAAAAAATATATATATATATATATATAACTTTATGAGTTAATTTTTGTTATTCTATATTATCCTAATTCACTTTTGGAAGAAATTAATATGAGCCAGATTCTTTGTTGACCCTTTTAAATGTCACATTTAGGAGTCATCTATAAAAACCTGTATATTTAAAATTCTCTTTTTAAAAACACAATTTAAAATATACAATTATTTTTTGTTACTTCGAAGATAAGTATGTTAAAGATTAGTTAAGTTTCCACAATCATGCTTTGTGCAATATCACTTTGTACTTGTGAAAACGCTGATGTGGCTATTTAGAATATTGATACAAGGTTGGGCTGAGGTAATATAATATAACCAGGCAATTTTCATAGTACGAGGGGTGATCCAAAAGTAATGATAATGAAAATAAAACACGGTAATTAAAGTTAAAATAATAATTTATTTTTCTACATAGTCTCCTAAAAAATCAATACATTTAGTCCATCTTTTTGCTAAACCCTCCCTTTGAAAAAAATTCTTTGTCTTGACCCTCCCAAAACGCTTCAACAGCGGCCATTACTTCGCTATCGTCTTCGAATTTCTTGCCTCCGAGGCGTTCCTTGAGCCGAGGAAAGAGGTAGAAGTCACTAGGAGCTAGATCTGATCTGATCTGTTTGAGATAAATATAACTATCTATATAAATAGTCAAATAATAAAAAAAACTCAAAATACAGAAAAAAAAAACCGTAAACTCATATGTTGCGTTGGTGGACACAGATATTATTTTCTTTGGGCAGAGCCGGTAACGTGTATGATGTTATGCTATCACATGCGTAACTAGCAAAAAAATAATAATGACTGAAAATCTGCAATGAAAAAGTCTTTATGAAAAAGAAAGTACTTAAATAAAAGTTCTAATTAGAAACATGTTTTATTAATTAATAATTGTGATACAATTTAAAGCAGTTGGTAATGCAAAGACCAGGCTGCTCATCACAATCGGGACAGTAATAAGGGGTGTCTTTACGTTTTTTTTCTGTTTCCCAACATACTTTACATCTCCGGCGCATTGACTTTCCCTTCCGAGGACAAGGTTGTAATACATGGACTTTAGAAAAAGTGCGAGAATTTGTAATATTGACATCAGGAATTAAACTCTCGATCACTGACAATCGAAAATCATATAAAGACTTCTTAGTACCTGATAGTAGGTTGTATATGGTGAAAGAATTATACAGCATTTGTTGTAGAATATGAATTCCCAACTTTTTATACCACCTGACAGTCTTATGCTCACAGCTGTAATACGGTAACATTTGATCCTGATGATCAACTCCGCCCATATTTTTATTATAATTTATATTTGGTTTTATTATTTCCGTGTTGCGACGTGTTGTAGTTGGCGTCATTTGTGCATCGCATTCTGATAAAATTACAAGGACATCACGATTGTGTCGCCATTTCATTACGCAGATACCTTTTTTATTATATTGAGCAACATACTCACCCTTTTTTAGCTTTTTGGTAACTACTTCTTTAGGGTTTTTTTTTCGATTTTGCCTTAGGGTGCCCGTACAATAAGTTTTTTGTGACAAAAGGTTTTCTGCCAACTCAACAGAGTTATAAAAATTATCCATATACACAGAATAACCTTTGTTCACATAATCTTGTAATAAATTCAAAACGACTTTTGAAGAATGGTTAGTACCACCGATAGTCGTATCGCCTGCACCAGCGTAAACTATTGTTTTTAGAATAATTCCGTGAACATCTGCCAGGAAATATAGTTTTATACCATATTTATTGTGTTTGTTTTTAATATATTGACGAAATATAAGACGTCCTCTCCATAATACTAATGATACATACATTACACAATACATAAATTATTAGATGGAAAATAAATTTCCTTCATCCGATTATTAAAATATGTAACGAGAAGCGAAATTTTTGCCAACTTATTGTCATCAACATTATTGTTTTCGAAGTGAAGGACTCTTAAAATAAGCAAGAATCTATTCCGGCTCATATGTTGGCGGAAAAAGGTAAGATTAAATAATCGATTTTTTTTTCCAATAATCTTGAATTCGGTTCAATTTTATGGTGCCCATATGGAATAAGAGTCCTAAGAAAACTTTGAATTCTGGCATAGTTATATCTTTCCAATATTTTAACCTACTTCCAGGAAAAATTTGCGCTAATATCTGAGACGCATTCTCATTGCTTTTTTCAACAATCATTTGAAGACATTCATTTGTCACTACAAGATTAAAATAATCAATTGGTTCTGAACCCTCAGGTTGAATTTTTAATCCTACAGGATTTCCTTCAAAATTAATTCTTCTAGTCTGTCTATAGTGATTTGACCATTCTTGATCTTCCTCAGTATTTCTTGGGACTAATTCGTCTTCACTTACAATTGATGTGTCGCTATCATTGTCAGAATGATTCATATTCTCAATGAAATCAGGATCAAAAATATCGTCGTCATAATTCTCATCAGGGTCTTCAAGAATTTGTAGTAGTTGTTCATCTGATATGGGTAAGTTTTCATTTTCAGATCTTTTTGAGAGATTTTCATGTTCTGAAGTGGTTCCAATGATGTCTGTTAATTCTTCTTCAATACTTGTTGTCTTTCTATTGGAAGTAGAAGCTGAACAAGATTTACCACCACGTGTCCTTACACGTTTGCATGGTCTCTCTTGGGTAATTGGTGGCTTTTCATCCTCTGAACTGGTCTCGATATCCGATATCAATGTAATACTTGTCTTTCTATTGGAAGTAGAAGCTGAACAAGATTTACCACCAAGTGTCTTTACACGTTTGCATGGTCTCTCTTGGGTAATTAGTGGCTTTTCATCCTCTGAACTGGTCTCAATATCCAATATCAGTTTTAATATTTGAAATATTCTCTTTCGAAATACAGGATGAACCAAACTTGTCACCACGTACTCCTACATGTCTGCGTGTTTTCTCTTGGTTGCCTTTTAACTCAAACAAAACTTGTTCATAACTAGACTGTCTAGAAGTATCAGAATCCCTTGTATCTAGCTTAAAAGAACAGGGCATTATTTCTTTTTCGCTTATTTTAACCATCACAGACTTTCCAGCGTTTTCTCCTATATTGATTCTAGAATTTATTGGTTGTGGTAACGTACCACTTACATTAAAAATAGTTCCTTGCGAATTACCTGATATAGGTTTATCATTTTCTACAATATCTATGACCATTAATTTAGGATTCATTATTTTATTTTGACTAATCCAACTTCGTAATGGTCCAGATGTTGATGTAAATTGCATTGCAGATTGCGCGAATTCTCTTACAGTAGATTCATGGAAAATAGGAATGGACAATTCCAGTTTTTTTTAAATGAGGCGAAGTGACATCCCTGGAATTTGTGAAGACATTTGTATTTTTTTAAACCGTAATCTGAATAACAGCGTGTATAAATAATTTTGTATGTTAAATACCTACCTTTTTGAATGCTGAATATTGTGAATTATAGATTCTGCATGGTCTAATGCATTGCAAGATTCTGTATGAGTCTCACATTCAAAATGTGTTGATAATACCTTTGCTCGTCTCCTGGTCCAATTTTGGTCAGTGGATCTGAAAATATCAAAACAACATTAAGAATAATCAAAACAAACATGCTAGATAACTGTTTATTTAAAATTACGTACATTGATGGCAAAATATGTATCTTGTGATGAATTTAGAGATTCTATATTAGATGCCGGTTTGACATGTGTTGAAACAGATCTGGTTCGTTTCCTGTAAAAGACATTTACTAAAGAAAATGAAACAAATATTTTTGTTGCTTACTTGGAATAGGTGGAAGTTGGTACTTACTTATGAGAATGATAAAATGTTTGAGTCTGTGATGTGGAGGAATTATATGAATCAGACCTAAATTCAGATGTACTTTGAAATTGTGCTGACAAAGACCTTGCTCGTTTCTGCCCCAATCTTTGACTAGAACCACAAGCTGTAGTATTTGAAACCCGTCTGTAATAACGAATGCATATATATATATATATATATATATATATGTACAATAAACTTCAAACCAATTTCAAAATTATATAGTACACAATACAAAACAAAGTACACAATTAAAGTTAAATTACAATTTTGACTTACCTATTTGAAGTGTTCAGGGAGCTGTTATCTGTATCTATTTGATTAAGAGCTAAATTCACCAGCCTAGCACTGCGCTGTTTTTTGCCATATGCCATTTTTCTCGATATTTATCTAAAAATAAGTAATAAAACATAAATGAAATGTGCATTTTTATGACTTGCACTGCATCTATTAAGTATTTTTATTTTTACTTTTGTAGTAGGTAGTGAACATTATAATAAAACCAAGCTACAGAAGTTTGTTATTCAACTGATTACTAATTACACTACATCTCATAAGTAGACACAAATAATAATCAGAAGAATTACACTAACAAAGTAATGAAAATGTTAGCCATAATACCATCCCAACAATTATTGTTCGTGTGTGCCATTCAACGCACCATTTGCGTTGAAATTTGAATATTATCGTTATTGTCGGAATCTGAATATAAATGTACAATCTACAGAAATAATGAATGATAATAAGCACTTACCTTTCGATTTTATATAATTAATCACTGTTTTAACACGAATAAACATACAATTTACGACGAAAATCACAGCACTTTTCCTACTTGAAAAAAAAACCATCGAAAATGTTACTTTCTGTTTTGAAAATAACGAACCATCAAATTTGACAGATAGCAGTGACGTTTTTCTATGGTTTATCGATAAAAGTATTCGCATATTTCTGAACGCACTCACAAAAAATATTTAGTCAGTTTATGATAGTCACAACGCATATGGTGCGTTGGTGGCAAACACCAAGAAGTGTGCGGAACGCAAGGGGTGCGTTGCCGGAGGCGAATGGGTTAATGACCTCCCGTAATCTTCTTATTTAGTCTGCGTAGTAAGAGCCCGTAATAGTGACTCCCTTTTCCAAATATTCCACCATAATTATGCCTTGAGCGTCCCAAAAAACCGATGCCATAACCTTTCCCTACGAACTTGAAACTTTGAATTTCTTTGGCGTCGGTGAGGAGGCTCGCTTCCAAGTCATCGATTGTTGTTTCGTTTCAGGATCAAAATGGTGGATCCAGGTCTCGTCCATAGTCACAAAAGGGAACAAAAAATTTTCTTGATCTGCTTGGAACTTTTCGAGATTGACCCTCGAAATGTCAACTCGATTTTTCTTTTGCTCGTCGGTTAACGTTCTGGGTACCCAACGCGCAGAGACCTTTTTCATATGCAACTCGTTCGCAAGGATTCTTTGAACGCTGCCATATGAGATACCTGTGACTTCAACTACATGCCTGATGGTCACTCTTCGATCTCCAACACAACTTCGACTTTTTTCACGTTGTCTTCAGTGAGTGACGTGGATGGGCGTCCTTCGCGATGTTCATCTTTAGTGGATGTTCTGCCCAGTTTAAACTCCTTGGCCCAGCGTGCAACTGTAGAATATGGAGGAGCAGAGTCCCCCAATGTTTCCACTAAGTCACTGTGTATGTCTTTTGAATAGATTTTTTTTCAAACAGAGGTACTTGATGACAGCTCTAATTTCGTTTTTCTCCATGTTGATGTTATCTCTTTGACAGTTCGTATTCAAATGAATGTATCTCCCGGAAATCGTGATCTATTTATATGATTTTTTTAGGCTGACGTAGTGAGTATATAAGCAAGCAAGAAATATTTTTTTGGATTTTTATGCGGACCTGAAGTAACCGATTATCATTACTTTTGGATCACTCCTCGTATATTTTATGCTGTTAGATCTTCGATCAACAATACCAACTAGATAACGGGTCACGTACAAAATCATACCTAAATACTGTCCGCGTGAATATAAACTTAAACAGCTACATCTGTTTACTAAAGAAATGAGACAAAAAATTAAAATAGTTTTAAGTTCAACCTAATTACAACCATCGCATCTAGTAATAAAGTCGCAAATCTTACGATCATTAGTCTTTTGTGAATAAGAGCTCACATCTCATGTGCGCTCTTATTAACTGAGACGGATTTCTTGCGCCGACCCGACGTCTAGTTGGTATTGTTGATCGAAGTGTTAGATGCATAATAAGGCTAGCAACAATTTGGCAGAAAAAGTGATTGACAGAAATATACTGATTGAAATTGGCAAAGTACACTTTTAGTGAACTTTTTGATGGTACTAGTAATTACCAATGTAAAATTTCGCATTATTCGGCTACATATTAGTTGTAAGATGTTAGTCTTAATTTAAGATTATTGTCAACGATTATTGCCAACTAGCTTAATCAGTGGTTTTAACTAAGAGGCGCCGTTCAACTAGCTAAATGCGTGTAGCGTCTGTAACAACATTTAATAAACTGGCTGGCTAATGCTTAGGCCATTCGTACGATAGGGTGAAACAGCGCTGTTCAACTGGCGGCCTGAATTATATTGAGCCTGTATTCAGCCGATGCGTCTAAAGCAATATTTCATGCCTAATTATGCACTATATTATATAAATGTACGCGGCTTTGGGGTGGCCCAAAGACACCCTAACCTACTGTCGCTGATATTACAAGATAGTTGCAATGTTGTATTAGACGCAGCGGCTGAATATCATTCAGGCCCCTAGTTAAATATAAAATGGCTAAGCTGTTAATTGAACGACTTATCTTAATAAGTAGTAGTCTAGTTGGCTGCGACAGGTTGCACTATTTTTCATTAAACTCTGGAAAACACCATCAAATTTGTTGTTTGCCGGCGCTATATTAACAGTTTGCAGAGTCTAAGCGTTAGGTGGCAGAAAGTGGAACTAAATTGAAATGAACAGGCTAGGCAAGTAATGAAACGTCATCGATCCAAGTCATTTGCCAGGCTGTTTGATCAAATGGCTAAATATCCATTCAGGCCGCTAGTTGAACGGCGCTCTTTAGTAAAGAGGGATTTAGTAACGTAAATTCTAAATTTTGCTGTAATAAACGACGTGAATCAATCAAATTATCTGTTTCACAAATGGCATAAAGACTTTAATTAATTCAGTTTTAATGCTGACATGCTGGCTGAAGAACGGACTTATTTCTATAACTCAGGATTTTTAACCACCTGTAAACAGATCTCCAATTTCAGGTCCCGGAAAAACTACTTGCACACTGATGTTGGTGCTTTTCTGTTTAGATTCAGTGACGCCGACACTTCGGAAATGGAAGGCGCAGCAGACACGATGCCAACAGTGAGCGAGTCTATGCCAATTCTTACCATGACGGCAAATGGCGCGGCATTGTTATCCCCCAATCTCTTGCAAGGTAAACAATTATGGGGATAAAAATTGTTTTATGTAACGCAAATGTTAGTAGGAAAAAAAACAAGAATAAAAATATATTATTAACATGCAAAGACTTCTACACGTATTGCGCCTCAAAATACATTGCGTACTAAACTAAGATCGATTCTCCATAACTTTTTTTCATAGTATAAGGGTGACACAAGAGCACACAGTCCACCTGATGGTAGGTGGATGCTATGGCCCGTAGACATCTACATCTATCCTCGATTAAGAATCAAAATGCAGTCACCCCTGAGGACTGAGATTGAATGCCGCGTTTCCAATAAAAAGGGTCTCCGATACTCTACACTCACTATACGAAACACAGCAGTATTAAGCTGCTATTTTACGCTGGTATTCTGTGAGAGCGTGGTCCTTCCCCGACCGAACCGACCCATTCGTGCTACAACCATATTGTAGCTGCAGCATTGCTCCACCACGCTTAAACTTCTTTTTTTTTTTGTAAACTGTGACGTTGTTTTCGACAATCTAATATTGATTATGTTTACTGTGACTAAGGAAGCATATTTATGCGTGTCGTAGTAAATAAAAATTAAACTACATGGCATATTTACCGAGCCCGTTCCCATGCGATCTACATTTGTGGCATAGTTTTTGTTCTGAATTGCGGGTCTATACTAAAGGTGCAATAAAATTGAAAACATTTGTGTTATTGTGCTCTCTGTTGCACTTACGGGCTTTTCGGCAGGCCAGTGGCCAGCGAACAGGACAGTGGATGTGTCAATATGCCTGCGAAAAAGCCCGTAAGTGCGACAGAGAGCGCAATAACATGTTTCCCCATTTTATTGCACCGCAGGCAGCGACTGTTTAATATTATTATAGTAGTGTACATAGAAGTGTTTGTTAATATGTGACTTATTACTGATAACGTATATGTAGGTGAGGAAGGTGGCGCGGGCGTGTCGTCGTCGGTGGCAGGAGAGGAGGGTGCAGAGGGTGCGGAGGGCGCCGAGGGCGCGGAGGCCGCTGCGGGCGCGGGCGCAGCGGTCGCGGGCGCGGCAGAGGGCGAAGGCGCGGTCAGCAGCTCGGTGGCGGGCGCGGCGCCGCCGCTACCGCCCGCCGACGCCGCGCACGCGCTCGCCACGCTCGCCTCCGCCGCGCTGCACCACCAACAAGACCAGGTACATTTTTTTTAATGTAGCATTCACGCCTTTTTCTGCCAACAGGGTAACGCATAACGCACTTTGGAATAATAATACATATTTATAGCGATGTGGTGTATTTCTTAGGACATTGTAATGGTTAATGTTTCCTTCTGTAATATTAGTTATATTTTATATTAATCCCTCAAGCGCCATAAAAATCCCGTGCAGTCGCATGCGCCCGGCAAAACCCGAGCGCTCGCAAGCTACCGCACCCGCCCACAGTATTTAAATCCATTAAAACTTATATTTAGAGACTACTTTTCTATGAAGAAGTTTAGCATTATGAAATCTATACAAAAGTCAGGTATTACTTCATTACAAAAAGATTTTATTGTATTGGGATAACAAAAAGAAAATATACCAAGCGAATGTCGGCAGCGTGACACACAAACGTGACGTACAAATATTTCTAAAAGAATAAAATATAAAAAAGGTTAAAATGTGCAAAAAATTTGTACAAACCACTGAGACATTGCATTATTTTTTGTATTGATTTAATAATGCTCTAGAATTTGATAAATAAAACTTCGGGCAGCTACTGAGAATTTCTTGACGGTAAAAGTCAATAAATTGAATTTTGTCCCGACCCAGGATTCGAATTCGCTGTCACAAAACAGTCAAAATCAAAAATAAATATCAAAAGTGCCTAAATACTTATAAGAGAAAAATACTATTTTGTTAACGTAAAGCGCGCGTAAGCCGATTCTAAAAATTTTGGCTGCAACGATATGTTGGTTGACCCCACTCGGCCGCCTGGCGCCTACATAACTAAAGAAACCACAACACAACTTTCATTCACTAGTTTTACGCAAATGCCGTAGAATGAATTGTTTTAATGTATTTTTTGGATATTCGGATTTTTTTCCATTTTTAGTTATATTTTGTAATATTTTACAATTACTTTCGAGGATAGCTTCTATTCCACTTACACAAAACACCTTATTATTTTCCAGACAATAAGAATAGTCACGCAGAATATATAAACATAAAATTATAAAGCTATCAAGATAAGTGTATTAACATAATAAATTGAGAATGTATAGTACGCGAGCATACCGAGTTTGATCCCGGCACCAATTTAATTTCATTGTAATTGCTAATTTACCATATTAAAAAATTAAAAACAAAAACATTTCGTAGGTAATATGTGAAGTCACACACGGTTCTTATGTTACAATAATTAATTATTTTAAAAGTATATATACAATATTAAAAAACTAATTAAAAAAAATTAAAACTAAAAACTTAAATTATCATATAGTCCTACTCAGTAGCATAGCTAGGGCTCCAAACTAGGGCTAGCCCAAGATATGGTTTTGTTGTTTTTAGCAGTTTTATAAAAATACACCAATCTTGATCTGTCTCCACTCTTCAGTTTCATATTCAGTGCTGTCGAGGACGTGTTTAACAAAGCACACAGAAGGCATACTACTGCTAGATAGATTGTATGACATATCAGCAATTGCATACCTTCAGTGGCTTTGAAAAAAGCCGTTTGGGTTTGCTTGAGTGAAAGAAAAAGATATTTACATATATATACTATACATGAACAAAATACAATGTACAAAAAAAAAAACAAATTATTTATATTCTAAATTGAATGATCTCTCTTAGAAAGGATTTGATTACGTCCGCGTAAAATGTTGGTGAACATTTTAATTGTATCTATAACTGTTTTTCAATTGCGATAATTGATAAGTCCGAAAGACGCTATGGACCTTGTGTATTTTCTCAACAAAATTTAAAGATTTTACCTTTTCCTCGCCGATTAGCACTTTAACATACTTCAATTCATAACAACACTCATCTATACAACATGTAACAAATTACCAGAATCGAAAAAAAGAAAAAAAAAAAAAGAAAAATATATAAATTTATTAAAAAAAAAAAAATAAAAAAAAAAAAAAAAAAAAAAATTCACTAAAACTTTACAAACCCCCAAAAAAAAAAAAAAAAAAAAAACAGTGATATACTCCAATATTATCCTCCATTTTCACTAAAAATCTTGGAAAAAGCATAAATTTCAACAGACACAACAAAAAAAAACATAAACATGGAAATGTGAAGTGAACTTGTAAACGTGTCGCCCGCATGTCCGCGAACTCCGAAACAACTTCAGAGCAAAGCCCAGATTTTGGTTCTATAGTAATTGTTATATAAACATTTCATTATAGAACATTTTACCGCAGGTTAGAAATGGAGCGACCGTCTTCTCGAAAGCCCTGTAAAAAGCCAACGCGTGCGAGACAGTCCATTGCGTGTTCGCTTCGAGACAGAGAAAACACGAATCAGTGTATTTCGAATTCAAAGCAAACTGCCTAGTGTTGACGTTACATATATGCTACGAGGTCATGACCTGTGTAGAACAGAGGAGTGCGCGGGAAATTTGAAACAGTTTAAGAGTTATTTTATTAGTTGATATTATTGATTGAGCAGATTGAAAAGGCAAGCCTGGCTTTTCGGCTTCTATGGAGGCTTCGCCTCTGGTCCTACTCCCCGTGGTATTGTGCCAAGAACGCTGGCTGCGTTTCCTTGCTGAATGGCTATACTTAGCCTTTGAACGAGAAAAGAATCAACGGAAGCGACGACCAGTCGTGGATACAGTTCCTTTAGTAACTTGACCGCTTAACTTCTTCTTATAGTTTTTAATTGTTTTTTAAAATGGGCTCACTCTTGACCTTTCGGGTCCTTGACCCCTCGGGTCAGCCGAGGCCAAAGACGAGGTCTACGATGGAGCGAGTTTGTCCAGAAGAACCCTGTTAACATGCACCTTGAAGTGGTTAAGGTTATATACACTCGGAAAAATGGACGCCGGCTGGGCATTTCACTCTTTGGCTGTGCGTATTCTGAAAGATGACTTATTTGGTGCGAATATTCGGAATATCAACCAAGTGTGGATGGACCTGCGGTACGTCTGGTACTCCGATAGGAGAATGTAGATGGCGGTATGAGCTTATGTAGCTCGTGGGCACACTCCGAAGTACAATCTATAGAAGAGTGACAAACAAGCAACTTGGTGTCGGTGAGCATAGTGAAGCATAGTTTTCACCAGCTTTTGTCGCCGTTAAGCCTATTGGCTCTGTGTTGCACTGAGTCGAGTACGGCGTGTTGATATTTTGCTGAGCCACCCCAAAGATAACTACTGTACTCCATGCATGTTCTGACTTGAGCCTAATATAAAATTAGAAGCTGTCCAAGCGTCACTTCACCTTGTTTAAAATACCCTGTTTATTGGTCCCAATTTGTGCTTTCGTCTCAATGTTGGCGCCTAAGTTGAGATTAGCACTCTACTGTATGCCGAGAAGCTCGAGATTGTTAGTAACCTCCACAGATGTACCTCGGAAAGTAGGAGTCGGATCAAACAGACTCCGTATTGCGGAGAACAGACAGGCCTGCGTTTTGGAGGCATTGAAAGTTAGCAGATTGTCGTCACCCCATTGGGAGAAAAGACTTAAGATCTCATTTATCTGCTCCACCATGGCCTCTCTAAGTGAGCATATTATTTGGTTGGGCGGCGGGCCTAAGGGTTCCCGAGTTCCGATTCCCCGGTCGAGCCTTGGCCCTATTACGCGAGATGTTTACACTATATGGACTGTATACGCGGATGATGCCTAAACAAGGTGGCGGATTTGGCACTTTTACTTGACAATGCACTCGCTCTTCCGAAAAAAAACCTATTGCTTGCAAAGGTTATGAAGGAATGCTGCTTGAGTACATTAAGAGAAATGAAATTGGGGCGGATTAATTAACAAAACACAAATACTCAAGCAGGCGTCATAGGAAAAGAAGCGCACTTATCGGGGTGTGACTTCGATGCGGCTTGGACGCTTCCGTTGCTGCGGTGCTACTTCTTAATAGGAGCGGATCTCCTGGGGCCCCAGGGATGCGGTTCTGGTCGGTGGTGCGATGGAAGAGAGCGAATATCTCCACAAGAGGGTTACTCCTGACTCGACTCTCCATTTCTTTGAAACTAGCGGTGCGCGTGGGCAAGAGCCCTCTAGAACGCGACTGTCCCAGACTGTGTGGTTGCAACTAGCGGCGCAAAGGCAAGAGAGCGCTCGAGCCCAGCGCGCGAACTTATATCGGCTTCTTTCCCACCGGAAGTCGGGCGGTCTTCTCATTGGTTGCGAGAATCACGCAACATTCTAGAATCTCTTCTTTCCCCTTTCACCCCACCACCCCGGTGTGTACGGAAGGGATAGGTCGAAGGAAGGACAACGCTTGGCAAGCCTACCCTCGAATAAAATAGTTTTCAAAAATAACTAAAACAACTAACGCTAAGATTAAACTAACCACATAACTAACGCTAAGATTAAACCTAAATTTCGACTACAATTTCTAATTTAGAAAACTAATCCAAATATTGAATGGGCAAAGGACACAAACGGACTGTGTTACTCGACAGGACCTAAGGTCCGCCATTTTCGGAAATGACGGCTTAGGACGTACTCGAAAGCAAGCTATACATCTGTGCACCCGATTGCGGATTAAATTACGTGCTGCAAGAATCTAATAATTCTGACGCAAGATTGACATCAGCAAGTCGGGGCCAGCGTGAGAATTCAATTTATGATGGTAATCAACTAATAAATTCATGATATGGTCTTTACCCGGTAAAACTATAGGGTGCCGTTGGTCGAAACCCAACTGCGAGTTGGACAAGCGTCCACCTACCCTGACGATTCCATCTTGTAAAAATGGCTTAAGGCGTTGAAAAGCGCGACTACAAGTTCTATTCGATTGTAATCTTGTAATTTCATCGGAAAAATGTGCACGTTGAAGTTCACGCAATACTAGCAACTCGACATAGCTGTAATCGGACGCTACGATATACGAACGTCGTGGTAAAAGCTTCGCGAATCGACAAACGTAAATCACGCTACGCAATAATTTCGATCAAGAGGACAAACGGTTCCCCAAAGCAATGATTGGAGAAACCTTTCTCGAAACGTTCGCCACCAGAGCGTGTCTCTTCT